ATCAGCTATGCCTCACTGACGATGCCTAACAAGGCTGAAACGATCGTCTGGGGTTGCTGTATCTCTCGTGCAGAGAGAACTTGCTGGCATTTCGGATCTGGACTGCCCGTATGGGTGGGACCAGTCTGATATGCTTCAGATATGTTCTCTCTGTAATGGCACAAGTTGAGCTAAAACCAGCTTGAGTTCTGAGCGGGGACCCACCGAAGGGCAGGCTATTTTAGCTGCTGTCCGTCCTCAGAATACTCTTGCGACCCATTTTTTGCTCTCCATTAGTTTAAAGGGTAATCCAGACGTGGACCCCTTGCTCACGGTGCCTAGAGAGATATCAGCTATGCCTCACTGACGATGCCTAACAAGGCTGAAACGATCGTCTGGGGTTGCTGTATCTCTCGTGCAGAGAGAACTTGCTGGCATTTCGGATCTGGACTGCCCGTATGGGTGGGACCAGTCTGATATGCTTCAGATATGTTCTCTCTGTAATGGCACAAGTTGAGCTAAAACCAGCTTGAGTTCTGAGTGGGGACCCACCGAAGGGCAGGCTATTTTAGCTGCTGTCCGTCCTCAGAATACTCTTGCGACCCATTTCTTGCTCTCCATTAGTGTTAGAGTGTCTCCCCAGATAGTATAGGGGGCTGGTGGTTCCCCTTTTCGATGTAGAACAACCAATGGAACACGGGACTCCAGGTAAGTAGTAGTAAAAAAGCAATTAATTTATTTTCTTAAAAGGTGAAAAGACACCATAAGAATAAAGATTAAAAGTGCAGGTTTCCCTTTGGGATAACTTTTTGACCCTATCGCCTCCCCGCCAGTAGGGAAGGACATGTTCAATACCCATACACTTAAATTCTCTAAACGAGAAGGAAGGACAATTGTTGCAATGAGCAGAGACCGAATGGGTAACCAGTCCCTTACGTATATTATTTAAATGTTCCAAGATTCTGACCTTCAAGATACGTTTCGTGCGTCCCACATACTGTTTGCCACACGGACATTGCAGTAAATATACTACATAGTCCGTGTGGCAACCTATCAATGATTTAATCTTAAAAGTTTCCCCCGTGATGTAACTAATGAATTCCTTAGTTCTCCCCATAAGGGCAGTAGTGCAAGCTTTGCAAGCATTACATCCCCTAAAACAACACGATTCGGGGGATCCATTAGATCTATTTGTTTTAATGGCATAGCTAGGGGCTAGCATATTTTTAAAGTTCTTATTTTTCTTAAAGATCACCATCGGACGTTCAGACAAAGAATTACCCAAAATGGGGTCTTGTTGTAAAATGGGCCAAAAATCACTTAGGCTTCTTTTAATCTTAAAATGATCCGTATTATATTGGGTGACAAAGGCTGATTTAAAATTCGTATTCCCCACAATTTTGGGGGGTTTGTCCTCCAAAAGTTTACTCCGTTCAAGAAGACCAATTGATCGAATTTCTTTTTCCAGCGTTTGGAACGCATGTGGAACGCAAATGGAACGCGGAAGTGAAGGTTGACGTCCACTTCCGGTTTTGGCTTTCCCATTGAACGCGCCCAATTTAAATCATCTAAACACCGAAAATACCATCAGCTGGAGGATATTAACCCTGGACCAACGAATAGCTGGCTATTGGACACTCCTACACCATGGACCAATTGGACTTTGGGACTAGCCCTATTTATAGAGATTCTGTTAAGGGGAAAGTAGGATATGTTATTTTACAATCTGTGATATTGTTTGTGATTTTTTTATTGTGCGGTCCCTGATGAAGTTCTTGCTTGAACGAAACGCGTTGGACCTATTGCTGCACTTTTAATCTTTATTCTTATGGTGTCTTTTCACCTTTTAAGAAAATAAAATAATTGCTTTTTTACTACAACTTACCTGGAGTCTCGTGTTCCATTGGTTGTTCTACATCGAAAATGGGAACCACCAGCCCCCTATACTATCTGGGGAGGCACCTTGTGAATGCTCTTCTATTTCCATCATCTTGTGAGTGCATCCATTTAAAGCGCACTATTTACTGTATTTATTGTGTTACACTATTGTGTTTTTTTCTTTATATGTTCCCTCTATAGACTGTACAGCCGTATCCCATTTCTGTCTGTGGTTCGATGCATATGTAAAGATTGTTTGTTGTGGATAACGATCCTGGGAGGCTGCAGATTGATTGAAGTTAAGTAATTTACACGATCAGAGCACTGAGTTTAAGGTGTTTGTTTGTTTGTTGTTTTAGAGTGTGTGTGTTAATGTGTGTGTGTGTGTTAGAATGTGTATGTGTGTTAGAATGTGTGTGTGTGTTAGTGTGTGTGTGTTAGTATTAGAGTGTGTGTGTGTTAGAGTGTGTGTTAGTGTTAGAGTGTGTGTGTGTTAGTGTGTGTGTTAGAGCGTGTGTTAGTGTTAGTTTGTGTGAGTGTTAGAATGTGTGTTAGTGTGTGTGTGTTAGAGTGTGTGTGTGTTAGTGTGTATGTCAGTGTGTGTGTGTTAGAGTGTGTCAGTGAGTGTGTTACTGTGTGTGTCTGATACTGAGTGTGTTAGTTTGTGTGCGTCTGTTAGTGAGTGTGTGTTTTGTGAGTGAGTGTGTGTATGTCTGTCACTGAGTGTGTGTCTGTCAGTAAATGTGTGTGACCCCTGCGACCAGGTGCCCGCCGCCATGTGTTGCGGCCCCAGCCCATGCAGAGTAAGCGCGCGCGGGGGGGCCCACGGATCAGATTTCACACCGGGGCCCCATGGGTTGTGTGTACGCCACTGCCCACATTAGCTATGTGCACACATATATAGCGATTAACGCTATATATGTGTGCACTGCGGGCCCTCCACTACCTGTATTCTGCAGGGGGCCCAGCACACTTGAAATATACTGCCCAGATGCTCTGCTCTGTCGAAGTCTCGCGAACAACGCGATCGTCAGAGCGTTGCCATGGCAACGCTCCGCAAGGCTCGCGAGACTTCGACAGAGCAGAGCATCTGGGCAGTATATTTCAAGTGTGCTGGGGCCCCTGCAGAATACAGGTAGCGGGGGCTGCACCATTCCTCAGGACCTCCGGCTCCAGGGCTCCAGCCAATGTGATCTCCCCCCTCCATACAGTGAGATACAGGGAGGGGTGGAATAAAACAATACAATTAATGGATGGAAAAAAAACCTGTAGGCTTTCCCCCCCACATTTTGCTGCCCTATACATTTACACACACTGTACACTAACATTTACACACACTATACACTAACATTTACACACACTATTCACTAAAATTTACACACACTATTTACTAACATTTACACACACTATACACTAACATTTACACACTATACACTAACATTCACACACACTATACATTAACATTTACACACACTATACACTAACATTTACACACACTATTCACTAACATTCACACACACTATACATTAACATTTACACACACTATTCACTAAAATTTACACACACTATTTACTGACATTTACACACACTATACACTAACATTTACACACACTATTCACTGACATTTACACACACTATATACTAACATTTACACACACTATTCACTAAAATGTACACACACTATTCACTAACACATTTACACACTATTTACTAACATTTATACACACTATTCACTAACATTTACACACACTATACTCTAACATGTACACACACTATTCACTAACATTTACACACACTATACACTAACATTTACACACACTGTTCACTAGCATTTATACAAACTATACACTAATATATACACACAATATTCACTAAAATTTACACACACTACATCCTTACACAAACATACATTCTGCAGTCACTACACACACTACTTCCTAACACAAACACACACTCTGCAGTACCTACACAAACACACACACACACTTTGTAGTCACTACACACACTACATCCACTACACAAACACACAGTCTGCAGTCACTATACACACATTAAATACTTACACAAACACACACTATCTAGTCACTATACACACACTACATCGACTACACAAAGACACACTCTGCATCCACACACTGTATTCACTAAACACTACATCCTCTAGACACACTCTGCATTCACTACACACACTACAGCCACTACACAAACACACACTCTGCATTCACTATACACATCGCATTTAATACACACAAACACTACATCCACTACACAAACACACATACACACTCTGCATTCACTATAAACACACACTACATCCACTACACAAACACATACTCTGCATCTAATATACACCTCATACATTACACAAATGTACAATCTGCATCCACTATACACAATGCATCCGTTAAATACACACCGCATCCACTTAACACACGAACTCTGCATCCACTACACACATTCTACATCCACTATACACACACCAGAATCAGTACAGACACTGCATCCCAGTGGGCGGACTCAGGGGCGGGCAGCACTTTGGGCGGACTCGGGTGCAGGCAGAGGGGGGCCCAGACCTTGAGCTGTGTCAGGGGCCCCAAAACTTCTGATGGCAGCCCTGAGTATGTTCAACTTGAACACCACGATGCGGCCCAGCAAAGCCAACTGTGTGTAATGTCCCTTTATTATTATTATCATCTAATATAATAAATATAATTTATTTTCATATAAACGATACGTCTTAACCTCTAAGTCATCTTAAACCTTCAGTTTGGGTACAATCATCGAAATCCAAGAACAATTTTGTGTTATAGTGAAATCAATACAACGTAACCTTTACTATATCAATGTTAAAATTTTGTTAAACATAAAAAGATAAAATAAAATAGCCCTTATCTACCTGTTTACACACACAGTATATGAAGTATACAGTACAATCTGAAAAGTCTCAATTTAATCTTCTCAGCCTTTAGATGGCAGTAGAGGTCCTATCTATTGAATCTGATAACGTTTAACATGATGACAAAGAAACAATATGTACACTAACAAAGTTATTCACGAAAGTGAGAATTCAAAGTAAATTCCAAGTGAATATCACATTTTAGTGCAAAGCAGCCAAGCATATATCTGACATAGAGATTTTTTCCAATTGGTGTTTATTGGCCTCAAGTTTGAAATTCACTTAAACCAACAAATAGTGTATGAAGTTATTTATTTTCTTTCTATGTTTTTTGAAGGGGAGACATTTATATTGACTTTTGAACTCCACAGCCTAGGACCCTGTGTGGTGTAACGACCAACGTAACGCAACAAAGAAGCTCTAACAACCTCTTCATATGGATAAACTGCTTGACATTAAAACACAGTGATCACAATCATTCTGCTGAACATTTATCAACAAATTATCATGACAGGCGCACAGTCGGATTTGCCGGCATATGTGCTAACCTTATCCAAACCCCCATTAAAACACGGACACAGGTTATACTGTTGGAAATAATTCGTCCACAGCTTTATTAAATTATTAATAAAATAATTAAGGCATAACAAATGGGGTCATTGCCAACAAATCTTAATAATGTTTACCTCCCCCATATACATAACATACCCCTAGCAATGACCCCACAATAATAACAATAGATAACAATCTAAATAACATGTTAACACAGAAACTGGCCGCCCAATTTGACCACATTTCCACCAGGTTAAATTGTAGGGGTGTACCGAGACACCGCTACCCACCATATCGATTGTAGGGGTGTACCAAGACACCGCTACCCACCATATCCATTGTAGGGGTGTACCAAGACACCGCTACCCACCAGTTCCAGTGTAGGGTGTACCAAGACACCACCACACCCCCAGGTTCGGAGCCACCGACGGGCTCGAACCTACCAACCACGTGCAACACTGCCCAATCCACACTAAACTTCAGGATGCCCACTTTCTCCTCCATCTACCCTCCGATTTAACCAGGCCATTCCCCGCCGCTGTGAAAAAACGGGAAATCAACTAACCTAACCAAATACAGGGAGGGTGGGAGGGACAACTGACAGGTAAGCTTAGGTTCAGTTAAAATGGCCACTTCATATAATGGCTGGTATAAACACTGGGAAAAGTCCACTCATAGCCCTCCACCTGGGTATGCGTCAGCGATTGATGACCCTCTTAGGTTCCCGGCCAGCTCTGGGGAGCCATAACACTTCATTCCCCTGTTGCAGGCTTGACGGTGTGGAAACTTTTTGCAGTATCAGAACCAGCATGGGATGGTGAGCAGCGGGTGAGTATTGCGATCTACTGTCACTGTGTTGCTTCTCTGCAGGCCTGCTCCATCTGCTCTCCAGTCGTAGGCAGAACTCCTCAAAGAGCTTGTTGAGCCGTATCATAATTGTCTTCGTAGGGCCTTGTGTGGCAGTGGTCAGTAGTGCGACCGACATTTTGTCAAATCTGTGAGTTAGGCCTTGTGTAGTTGGGCTATTTGCAGGATCACTGGTTCACTCATATACCAAAGCTAGTGAGTGAGCAAATGCCGGGATGACCCCCACCGGCAGGTTTGGGGACGGGAACCCCTCACACTTTCACTCGTTCCGACACGATTAACAGCGCAGAGAGCAGATGCCTCTCCCTATCCGCACCCTTTGTATTTACTTTTTGTATCACACAGCTAGGTTACAATGCTGCTGCCCATCCCATGTGTTCCTTATTAAGGATTAATACGTATGTAGGGATGTATATAAAAAATACCCCTTTCTGTCTCATTAGAGATAAATTTGCCAGAAGCTCAAGGAAGCAAGGTGAATGGTTAGAGTTAGAACCCACCTTCTTGGTCTGCATTGACGTGGCAGGGGGGCATACCCTCTCATGGCCATTGGAGGTAACTAAAAACCTGCATTTGTTTGAAAATACATAGGGATGTGGAAAGAGCGCAGGTAACTTTTTCTTTGGTTTTTACTATGTGTATTTGGGCTGATGTGTACTATGGTCGTTGCTGCCGCCCAGGAGTAATGGGAGTTTGAGCGCAGGACTTGTTTCTTTGTACTTGTATTTGCAGGATCACTGGTTCACTCATTTACCAAAGCTAGTGCGTGAGCAAATGCCTGGATCCCCCCCACCGGCAGGTTTGGGGACGGGAACCCCTAACACTTTCACTCGTTCCGACACGATTAACAGCCGGGAGAGCAGATGCCTCTCCGTATCCGCACCCACGTGCAGGCCGCAGCAGAGTTTCAGGGCTAGACCGCCAGTCAAGAGGTGAGACGCCTCCAAGTGTGCCACCGGATGATACAGGGTGCATACCGCGCTATTGGAATTAGTTGCCTCAAGGTAAGAGTCGTTTTGGTGTAATTTACTCAATTTAATCCAGAGCTCACTCCAAGTGCTACGTATGGGGGGGTCCTTTTTGACAGTATTTTAGCCCCCTTTTTCATGCCTCACTCTCATTGCTTACGATACATTAAAAATTAAACATGAAGCTTTCTGTTATGTGGTAAAATTATAAATTATTCCAGGTTTCGTGAAGAAATAATCTTTTCTTAATACTGACAGGACGCAAATATTTTCACGCCTCTCTTTCCCACCCTTGTTGTTTGATTTGTCTGATTTTGTTTACAACTTTATTTTGTGTTTTACATTGCCGTTTTTATATCTTAATTGTGGTTAGTACTGTATTTAGCTACATTGTTTGCATGATATTAGATGTTCTGTTATGTGAATGGCATATGACATTACTATGGCTTTAACAGTTTTTCTTTCGTCTGTTTCAGTGTAACGTGCTCATTTATCACGCCTTGTTTTGGTTGTGGATTCCAAGTTAACATTGTATTTGATGATGATGGCTTATTGGTCGATTGGAAGTTCCTTTTGCCACAAAGAGAAAGTGCTAATTTGGTCCAACCCATTAATGTTACTTTCCTCTGACTGGTCGTTTGCTTTACTGTTGTTTTGCTGCAATGGAGGTGCAGTAAAGAGAGAATGCAAAATGTTCACCTCCTGTCATTATTATTGCTTCACGAAAACTAGAATAATCTACAGTTGGCAATAAAGGGATACTATAGCCACCAAAACAACTTTAGCTTAATGAAACAGTTTTAGTGTATAGATCATTTCCCTGCAGTCTCTCTGTTCAATGCTCTACCATTTAGGAGTTAAATCCCTTTTGTTTCTGTCTATGCTACCCTACCCTCTCCTTCCCAAACCCCCCCCCAACCCCCCCCCCCACCTCCTGGCTGTGACTCACACAGCCTGCATGAAAACAAAATGGTTTCATTTTCAATCACATGTACACTTTAGATGACTTTTTGTATAAATAAAGTGATTTAACTCCTAAATGGCAGAGAATTGAGCACTGAGACTGCACTGGCATGATCTACATACCAAAATGGTTTAATTAAGCAATAGTTGTTTTGGTGACTATAGTGTCTCTTTAAAGTCTTAGGACCAGTGATATTTAATATCCTCAGTTAGTCCTCTGGGTTGTGTGTTTATAAAGATAACTAGTAGCAGTGAGGATAGGAAAGTCTAGTTATAGTTCATATATTGTACTTGGTGGTGGTCTGCTGGTTTGAATATGAAGTAGAACCAGGCTAGAGATCTGATTATTGCCACAAGCAACCACTAGAGGACACTATAATAGCAACATTGTTGCAAATTCAAATGATTTTGTGCAGGCCCTAGAGCAGGGGTAGGCAACCTTCGGCACTCTAGATGTTGTGGACTACATCCCCCATAATGCTCTTACACCCATAATGCTAGCAAAGCATCATGGGAGGTGAAGTCCAAAACATCTGAAGTGCCGAAGGTTGCCTATCCCTGCTGAGGTTACTATGAAAGCAACACTATTGCAAATATAAAGGATACATCCTTTTCTGGTGTAGCCCTGAAATTTCCTGGTAATGTTGTTTAATCTGACATTTTGTATAACGCTAACTCTATAACATTAGCAATTATTACTACTTTTTCTAGTTCGTTTTTATGCTTCCTGATCTATGAAATACAATAACACTGCTTCACTTGTGTATACTTTGAACATTACTTTTATAAAGTTTTTGTTGTTTATGTATTTAAATTAATGAGATTGTTTTCCCTCAGCTTATACTTTGTCAGGGGTAAACGTAATAAATCAATTCTGTTGTAATCAGAGCTGCAGTGTGTGTATTTATAAATTTACTTCTAAGCCTAACGTGTTTCCCAGTGTATCGACTCTTGCCACGCTATTTGTCAACGAACACCTTTTTGCCTCGGCTGACCTGTGCTGTTGTCTGACCTTGTCTTTTAGATATTATGCTTTGAGGTATTGGACTTTGCCCATTTCTCTTGCACTCTTTTGCGCAAGTAAGGAAGCCGCCGTGACCACTTGCCTGGGAGGCAGCACTTCTGGTAGTGGGCTTCTCCTTCAACAACTGTGTTGCAGTGGATGTGATCTACTTGGACTTTGCCAAGGCATTTGATACGGTTCCTCACAATAGGTTAGTTTTCAAACTAAAAGAAATTGGTCTAGATGAATATTCCTGTTCTTGGGTAGAACATTGGCTTAAGGACAGAGTACAACGAGTTGTCATTAATGGTAAATTTTCAGGCTGGACAAAAGTGGTAAGTGGTGTCCCTCAGGGTTCTGTTTTGGGACCACTTCTATTTAACATATTTATAAATGATCTTGAAATAGGCATTGAAAGCCATGTATCAGTGTTTGCAGATGACACAAAACTTTGTAAAGTAATAAAATGTGAGCAGGATATTGCTTTGTTGCAGAGAGATTTGGATAGATTGGGGGACTGGGCACTAAAATGGCAGATGAAATTTAACATAGAGAAATGCAAAGTTATGCACTTCGGGGTTAAGAATGCACAAGCAACTTACACACTAAATGGTAGTGAATTAGGGATAACCACACACGAGAAGGATTTGGGCATTGTTATAGACAACAAATTAGGCAGCAATATGCAATGTCAATCTGCAGTTGCTAAGGCCAGTAAGATTTTGTCATGTATAAATAGGGGCATAAATTCTCGGGATGAAAATATAATTTTGCCTCTGTATAAATCGCTGGTAAGACCACACCTTGAATATGCTGTGCAATTTTGGGCGCCTGTTCTAAAGAAGGATATCATGGCACTGGAGAGGGTCCAGAGACGAGCTACAAAATTGATAAAAGGAATGGAGCATTTTAGTTATGAAGAAAGGTTACAAAAATTAAATCTGTTTCGTTTGGAAAAACGGCGCCTGAGAGGGGATATGATAACTTTATACAAATATATTCGGGGCCAGTACAAACCTTTATCTGGAAATCTATTCATAAACAGGGTTATACATAGGACACGAGGTCACACATTTAGGCTGGAAGAAAGGAGATTTCATCTAAGGCAAAGAAAAGGTTTTTTTACAGTAAGAACAATAAGGATATGGAATTCTCTGCCTGAAGAGGTGGTTTTGTCAGAGTCCATACAGATGTTTAAACTGAAATTGGATAAATACTTACAAAAACATAACATACAGGGATATAATTTCTAATTAGTGGGGTAATAGCTGATTGATCCAAGGAGACATCTGACTGCTATTTTGGGGTCAAGAAGGAATTTTTTCCTAGTTTGTGGCAAAATTGGAAGTGCTTCAGACCAGGTTTTTTGCCTTCTTTTGGATCAACAGCAACAACATTTCTGAGGAAGGCTGAACTTGATGGACGCAAGTCTCTTTTCAGCTATGTAACTATGTAACTATGTAACAATGCATGCGGTGGCATCTGCACCACCGTCAGTGCCAGCAGTCTTGATTCTCTCAGCAGAGACCCTGGGATGGAGGGGGCATGCGTGTGGCACCTGCAGGGGGTGGTGACCTTTCAGACCAGGGCTGTTTTCACTCCCAGAGTGACATGCCAGTTATGCCAATACTACCCTGCAGGGGATGGCACCTTTTCAGACAAGGGCTGTTTTTTTTTGTTTTTTCCTTCTTTATTTTTGAAGTGCATAGTTTGGTACACAAGCATCATAAAATTGGTAACAATACAGTGAAATGAATATAACATGGAATGTCTAGAAAAACTACACTTTAAAAAAAAACTATAAGAAGCTACAAAAAGTTATAGAACAGAGCTATATTAGGTTGTAAGAATTAAAGACCACGAGGTAGGTGGACTCGGTGGAGTAGGCTATGGTATCCATGTAGTCAAGGTTTAAGAAGACAATTTATAAGGACTCAGCTGCAGCATACATTGTACAGATTGTAATCAGTGAAAACATTGTTAGACTACAGGAAAGGCCTGTCAATCTTTAGAGGGCTGTTTTCACTCCCAGAGTGACATTGTGATGCCAGTGCTACCCTGCAGGTCATGACATTCCTCCTTTCAGAGTAGGGTTAGGAGGTCCGCACCTAGAGCTTCTGTAGAGTTTTTAGCCCCTCTGAAAGCAATTTATGGGATGCGTATTTTAAACTGCACTGTATTCCAGTGGGCCTACAGATGATATCCCTGTGGCATAAAAACCAAGGGGGGGCGGGGGTTGAAGCACTTTTCTACCAGTGCTTTTCTGTCACAGGCATCGGGTTGGTTGGTCCTCTTTGTAAAAAAACAAGGTCTATATATTATGTTTATACAGCACTTTACAAATAGAGAAAGGGATGAGGAATGCCCTGAGCAAACAAGCATACAATCTATGGCTGGAGTTCACAAAAGCTAGATCTCCAGATGTTTTCAAACTACAGCTTCCATGATGCTTTGTCATTCTAAAGGCACGAGAAGAGTCATGGGAGTTGTAGTTGGAAAACATCTGAAAATCTACCTTTTTGTACACCCCTGCCCTACGGGTATGTATACGAATGTGAGTGTGTGTATATGAGTCTATATGTGCATCAATGTGTGTATATATGCATGTGTGTAAAATCTACTTAACAAAAGGGGGTTGGAAGTGCAGAGTGACGTGCAAAGTCCAACATAAATTTTGGCCCCCGATACCAAGTAACCCAGTTACCTTCTGCTGCACCCTCACATTGCACAACACACACTGTATTGCTCAGACAGGCAGGGCAGGGTAAACATCCAGCACTACTGCAGAAGATGCATGTTCGTTTACCCCCAAATTAAATACTTTTATGTTACCACAACCACAGTGGACATGGGAGAATTAATCTAATTCTAATGTCTCTGAATGAGATCCCTCAGCTTGGTGGTCATATTTTAATTTGTGCTAACCATTACTCACAATATTGGCAGATACTGAATAACTGCTCTGCTACCATGTGCCACCTTGGTGTGTGACAAGCAATGAGTGCAGCTTCTCCCAGCTGTCTGTGCCTTGTTTCCGGACACTGATCTCTTAACGGTAATTTTTCAATGTAAGTTCACAGATATAAAATAGTTTATTTAGAAATGCTGTAACATAAGTGAACAGCTTAAGAGACATACCTTTTTTTTTTTTCTGGGAAAACTGCATTTATTGTAGACAGATTGGTTAAAATGTACCGGTTGTACCAAAAAGATTCCCGGTATTGGAACCCCTATCCTTCGAAGATGCCTTTACTTTTAATTGAGATCCTCTTTATAATCAGTTATACATTTAAAGGGAAACTATAGTCACCAAAACAACTTTATCTCAATGAAGCAGTTTTGGTGTATGGATCATGCCACTGCAATTTCACTTCTCAATTATCTGCCATTGAGGTGTCAAAGCAATTTGTTTTTAGTTTGTCGAGCACTAGCCACTGTGGCTGTAAATTGCATTGCCAACATGAAAAAAAAGGTTTAATTTCCATTCAGATATACATGTGTTTAAGTTAGAAGATCGTTTCTAACTAAACTTAAATAACACACAGAAGACTCCTTTTGTGTGTTATTTAATTAAGCAGGAGATTAATTCTAAATTAAACACACTAAACAACACAACAAGTTAAAAAAATTTAATCTCTCTATACATGAAGTGTATAGGTGTGCTTAGGGCTGCATAAACAAAGTGATTTAACTCCTAAATGGCAGAGAAGTAAGCAGTGAGACTGCAGGGGCATGATCTATACACCAAAACTGCTTCATTAAGCTAAAATTGTGCTTGTGCTTATAGTGTCTGTTAAATTGGCAAATTAACAAAACACATTTGATATTTTTGTTAAAGGCAATTTGAAAGTTGTTTTGCAATAAACTTCATATACAAATCGGACAAAACAGTCCCCCCCCCCATAGCAAGTCCGAGGTGAAGACTTTGAATGGCCAACTGTTTTTTTTTTTTTGCAATGCTAGATATGGTTGTAAAGATCTTTCAGAAGAAAATGCAATCGGGATTTAAGCTGTTTTTTTCATGGATTCTTCATGTAACAAAAGAGATGAGTAGGAATGCAAAACAGGTGAAGTAATCACTTCTAAGGTGTAAATAGAAATATACAACCTTATAATATAATAACGTGGTGGACGATACCTTATAATATAATAACGTGGTGGACGATAACCTTATAATATAATAACGTGGTGGACGATACCTTATAATATAATAACGTGGTGGACGATTCTTCATGTGTTCTCCACTTTGTTTTTTTAACTAGTGTATGCAAGACAGAGATTGTGGATGTTAATTTAAAATATTTTCCCCCTCCCCAGAACCTAACCAGCGGTAGCTAACATTCGTCACTCCAGATGTTGTGGACTATATCTCTCCTTATGCTATGCTAGAATTATAGCTGTGAGAGCATCTGGAGTGAGGAAGGTTGTCTGACCTTGACCTAAATTTTGGCTTCCTGGCACTGTTGATAACGCATTGCCTAATTATCCTGTGATACTTGGAATGTTGTACAGACATTCCATAACTTTCCTGCAAATGTAGGTTGCCTGGAGACAAATAACTGACATGCGTCCACTCACTTCAGTGTGAGAACCCCCAAAAAACAGACCCAAACAAGGCAAAATATAGTGTTTAATGTCTTTACATGTTAATAAGGACATGTTTTTAATGGTTTTTCACATCCTTCTGGCAAGCGCACAGCCACATATTACACCCCCTTGCCAAATTTCTAAATAATAGGAATTTTATTTCCTAACATGAACGTTCAGAAGTAATATATATCTTCATGAACAACTGTGACACATTACCTAATACATAAACTTGATTTCTCTGTTACCCAATCTGTTTAGAAGTCGGAGGTTTATCTGCAGAGTGATAACTAGATGTTAAATTCCCCGTCTATTTTAAAATCAGTATAGTTTAATTTATTTTTTCAAATAGTTCTACACCAGATTTAGTATAGAGTAAGGCAGTGCAAGATTTAAGAAAAGGGGGGGGGGGGGAAGTTGCTTAATCTTCTTAGTATATATTTATTGCCGTGCTTTGTAAGGTAAACATTAATATCTTATCCGCGATTCACACACCTGGGAATATAGACTATTTTAAGACCACTAGGGCCAAGACACATTAGAGCTCTCAATAAATTAAGCACAATGTTGAATAACACTAGTAGGCATAAATTAGTCACCAGCTGCACCATTTATTGCAATACCATTTCGCACTGGTACTTATTTCTCATGTCTTAGCATAGGGTCACTGGGAATTACTGCCCCCCATTTTCCAATAAAATAAAATGCACTTGATGCACTTACCTTAAATCCAGAGCTGGGGCAAAGTTTCCCTTTAAGTGTCCCCCTCCTACATCCATGCCATCCCACTTTACTGCTTCTTGGTCCGAGGTCCAATCAAATTGCTTCTCATAGAGAAGCATTGTTAGAGCTACGGTGCATGCACTTCAAGCACCGTGACTGCCAGTCAGATCATTCTGACAGAGAAATCCTGAATCAAATGCTTCTCTATCAGAAATCGAGAAAGCACCCTGCATGGGTGCAGTGTATATTTACATGTGCTGAGCTGAGTGACAGCTGGTGTATATGAGTTGAGCTGAGTGACAGCTGGTGTATATTTGGCACAGGACTCACATTAGAGTCTGGAACACTGACTCGGTCACGTGTGCTAAAGGTATTATTACACCTGGCACAAAAGTACAAATATCTCTGTATAGGCAGCCTTTCGAGCTGAAATGCTGCACATACAGATTTCTTGCATGACAACCACTTCTAAAAGCAGAAGTGGTTGGAATAAACATTAAATAAAAAGGGTATCATAAGATACTGCTATTCTCTTATTTTTTGCATGCCTTATTCTACCATGACACCTTCTCTAAAATACACTGAAATAGAATTGGTGAGTAGTAAATGTGTGGTATATATATTTCTAGGAACTTACCCTTAGTATTACCATTAAGCTGCCAGACTGTACCTCTAACTTCTGGATTTCAGGATAATCCTCTATTTTCTGCCTAGAAGTGTTGACAGTATAATACACTATCTTCTTATTCTAAAACGGACTGTTGTATTGCAAAAGGAGCATTTTAACCTCTTTATCAATGTGTTTCTGAGGTGGGCTGGCAACCTATGTCAATATACAAGGTCAGTACAAACTATTGGCCTGCACAAAAATTTCATGGATCTTTGTGTGAATAAATATGTTCTACAAAGCATGAGGGAGCATTGACAGAAATCTGTGTATGCCTAAGTGATCAACATGACTCTATTCACAACATTGTCTCAGCTCATCCAGAAGCTATTTGCAAGCATCTCTATATTATACACGCATTAGTCTTGCAAGGGAGCTCGGGTACTGCTTTCTCACAGGAAACATTACCAGTGTGCCAGTCCAGCCACGGAGAACACTGGGAATATGGGTCACCAACACAAGCGCAAACCCACACTAGCAAAGGCCCTGGCCTACACAATCCATGTCTACTGCCTTACTTCTGTAGTTGCCTGCTAACGGACATCCCATCCTATCTCTACTTGCTTTTAATCAGCAGAACAATGGTGCTCTGAGGCTACAGCCCATAAAGCCTGTTTGCTAGAGGCTGTGGGGCAATTACCCTTGCCAGCCCTCCCACGAAGCTAATTCGTTTACATAAAATGTAATTCTAATCAGTTAACAGAATCTGACATTAAACGCCACTTGCATCTTTAAGCTAGTACATCCTTTTTACAAGCTTTTCATCTTAAGTACTATTGTCCTTTTGACAATTTTGACATATAGCTACCTAAAGGAATGACTACATTCGTCTTAATTTCTACTATGTCTCATGGGTACAGCAATGAGACCCCTCTGCTTTCTCTGCTACATGCTAAATAAACTGCATCTCCCTCAATACATGTCTCCATTCAAAAACAGCATAACATTTTTACAGTGCTTATTTAAAAAAAATATTTTCTCTGTGCTGCTCATTCAATATTTCACTTATGCATCACTTCTTTTATCGGTTCAGAGGTATGCCATTTATAAAACAATTTAAGGACATGCATATCTCACATCAACCCAGACACTATTCTTCAGCCTCTTTTCTATCCCTTGTCAACCAAAGAGCAGCCCTAACCACAACAAACAATCTGCACGGTCTTGACTGTTTTAGCTCTTTGCATAGCTTTTATTAGTGTGAAATATAATGCAATTTTGCTATTAAAGAATGCCTACATTTTATCCTAAATCTAGCAACAGCAAGTAATTAAAGAACTGGGATTGGGAAAAAGAGTAAAAAGTGCAGTGTGGATTTTATTGGGTTTTAATTTTTTTATGAGAGTGACTTATTCGAATGACTTCTATAGGTTTTTTGTTTGTTTCATTTTTGAACAGTGAAAGTAATGTTCACCAAACTTTCACTTATACACTGAGCATTTACTAAATTGTGAATCATGTAAATTTAAAACTTAAATTGTAAAATGCAGATCAAAATAATCACATTGTGAATGAGTTTTTTTTTTTGTTTTTTTTGCATCACAGCCTTTTGGCCTAAAATTCTCGTAATTCTTTTTCAACATCACAATTCACTATTCAGCTAATAAACCCTGTTGTAAATGTTAAACATAAGGCTAGTTGCATTATAACTATGATCCTGCTAACACATTACTTGCATTTTTATTTATAATAAGGTGGGAAGCAATATTGATCTCAGAAACATCTGTAGAGTACATGACATGGCTGACTTATAAACACAGTATAGTTGGGCAAACTTGGCACAGATCCTTTTCTTGGGGGGAAAAAACCCTGAAATAATTATTGGTAGGAACTAACGGGATAGTAGAGAAAAAAAAGTATCTGTGATTTGGTTACATAAATATAATAATGGAATTTAAAAAAAATTTATTTTGTATTTGCTAGTGCAGCCTGTTAAGTAGTTATGCGTAAGTTACATATGCGTAAATATATCTTCTTTTTTTCAGTTTTTTCTTTTTTGACGTGTGGTTATAACTGCAAAAATATAGAGGAACGAGATGTGTGTATATGAAAGGTAAGATAGGTAAATTGGTTTGAAATGTGAAAGGTAGTAAGCTGTCCAAGTGGAGGAAACTGAATTTTTCCTTGTTAGTCGCTGTCACTTCTTTCAGCCAACACAGCATCAGTGTCCTCAGAGATCTGCAGGAGGGAATTGGGATCGGGACTCTCACCTCTCAGCAGGTCAGCTGCTTCTTCTTCTTCACCCTCCCCACCAACCTCTACCATTTCTGTGGCCTGGACTTCAACCTCACCCTCCCTAATCTTTTTAACATAGAAAGTGAATGGGGGCACCTTGTACACTGCTGTTTTGGACCGGGCATATACAGGGTGGTCAGGAGTGAAGGATTTTTTGAACTTGTCTCTTGAGGTCTTCATTTTCTCTCGTCTTTCATTTGTCACTATCTTGGTTCCCAGCTTGGTCATCTTTTTCTCTATGTTGTGTTTGGTCTTCTCCAGATTTTGCTTTGTTTTTTCTAGGTTCTCTTTGGTCTTAACCTTGGTCTTTTCCATCTTTTCTTTAGAGAATGCTTTCTTAATATCATCAACACGTCTCATCCCACTCCTCTTGATGCGTTCAGCTCTGGACTCTTCAATGATTTCTTCCAGTTCCACCTCCTCGTCTGAGGAGAGCTGTATATTCTCATTTTCTTCCTTATTTTCTTTATGCTCTTCTTCTTCCTCTACCTCTTGCTTCTCTGTGTCCTTTAGAGATTTGCTGATGCTCAGCTTAGATGGCAATTTTACCTCATCCTGGGAAGAAAATACAATTAACATGTCAGTAAAAAAAACAAAACAAAAATAGATGGAGAAGTAAAATGAATAAAAATAATAATTTAAAAAAAGAACAAACACCACCCTTGCAAAGAATTATTAAATTTTATATTAATGTTCTTGTAGGTACCTTAAAAGTAAATAGCTTATGTTTAATTGAGGTTTACAGCAAATCTGCTGAAAAATAAGCCACAGTATATTCATGAGGTGATGTCTTATAAGTTCCACCTCATGATTTTAAATTGTTTAAATTCAATTCTAAAAATTCAGTGCTTGATAATATTTGCTAGTCTGCATGGTCAAAGGAAAACACCAACATCTTACAAATGGGCTATTGCTGATACCATCTTTCAAACAATTTGACTAAGTTACTAAGTCTAGGACTTGCCTAATAAGCCAGCCAATCAGACCGCTCTGACTATAAGGACGTATGCCAGCTCAGTCTGCGTGGAGGTGGCTGGAGGGACATGTGGTCCCCCTGGTTTTAATGATGTCAAGGTTCTACCCCAACACGAAAGCAAGAGACAACTAATAGTTAAAAAGATACAGCGCATATTCCTGGACCTTAGAGTGGCCATGCTCTAACATACAATATTAACAAATAGAAAAAGCTCAGGCACTCAGTGCAATTGTTTCCAGGCAGGTTTATTGCAACGTTTCGACCTGTTAAGGTCTTTATCAAGCTAACACCATGTTATGACACCAAAAACTGCTCGTTCAGCCTGGGGATATGTGTATGATATTTGGCTACGGGCTGATGCACACTTCTATGCATCGCCTGTTGCCCTGGATGTGCGTCTTGGTTCTAAGCGCATGCGCGATTAGGTTTCTTTTCGCACATGCGCTCGGATTTCAGATGCTGTATACCCTTTGCGGCCACCGTACCTTTGACGTGGCTTGTGACGTAATCGCGTCTAGTCACGTGGGAGAGGCGGTCTGGTCTCCTCGATGTGCTTGGTATCTCATTGAATCCCAGGTATAGTCTCATATGATCAACTGCACAACTTTAGTTTGGTGATATATTTATCTAAAAGATCTGTGCATATATAATTGTTTATGTGATTTTGAGTAAAACCTGGACTGCTTGTATTTTCATTGACTATCTGTTTCAGCCATTTATCTATTTATTCCTTACCATGTCTTTGTAAAAGTTTGATGTATTAACTTGATATATTGTTGTATTATTTTTAACACTTCTTTGTCTAATGACATTTCTAATTGCCTAATTGTTTACTTAATTAATTGATTGTTTGTTTGTAACTTGTGTGTATATAAGTGCAATTTTGTCACTGTGGTGTTAGCTTGATAAAGATTTTTACAGGTCGAAAAGTTGCAATAAATCTGCCTGGAAACAATCGCAGTGAGTGCCTGAGATTTTTCTATTTGTACATATTCCTTGGGGTTTTTTGCTGACCCATGCTCAGTAGCACCCTGGGCTGAATTGTTGTGGCTGAGTGCGACCCTATCCTTTTTCTCTAATATAGACTATAGTCCTGATAGAATATAGGTATAACTGGAAACAGGCCAAGGTCAAGGTAGAAAAATCGAGTACACAAAGCCAATGTCAGAGGTAAGAGTAATAGCATAACAGAGCCAAGTGAAAACCAGAAAACTCGCTGAATACTATAATGCCCTCTCGACAACAACAAGGCCAGGAAGTGATGTCAGAGAAGGATTTAAGTAGGCTCACGTGAGTAGTAAAAGGCTGGAGAACAATTGGGATAATTAAAGGACCACTATAGGCACCCAGACTACTTCAGCTCAATGAAGTGGTCTGGGTGCCAGGTCTATCTAGGGTTAACCCTGCAGCTGAAAACATAGCAGTTTCAGAGAAATGTTTACATTAGGGTTAATCCAGCCTCTAGTGGCTGTCTCATTGACAGCCGCTAGAGGTGCTTCCGCGCTTCCTACTGTGAAAATCACAGTGAGAAGATGCTGCTGTCCATAGGAAAGCATTGAGAAATGCTTTCCTATGGACTGATTGAATGCACGCGCGGCTCTTGCCGTGCATGCGCATTCAGCGCTGACATCGGAAGAGAGAGGAGATTTCCCCAGCGCCGAGGGAGCCCGGCTCTGGAGAAAGGTAAGTGTTTAACCCCTTAACCCTTCTTGAGCCCGGCGGGAGGGGGTTAAGGGGTTAAACACAAGTTTGTTTTCCTGGCACTATAGTGGTCCTTTAACCCCTTAAGGACACATGACATGTCACGATTCCCTTTTATTCCAGAAGTTTGGTCCTGAAGGGGTTAATGCACTCTGCACAAAGCAAAAGCATGTGAAAAGTAGTTTAAAAATGGCCCGATTCCATGAGGATGAGCCTGGAGCTTCAGCTCCATTACGCCCTATGTTAAACTGGAGCAGGTTGGAGTAACCCTTTAAATGATTACTGTGTGGTGTTGTAAAAACTCCTCCTAGTTTTCAGTATGTTACTTCTTTTTTTTTTTTTTTTTTTTCACAGAGACCAAGAGCCACAATTTTGCCCAATACTATGGCAACAAAACATTCCTACAACCACTTCAGAACATCTTCAGAACTGAAAGGACATAAATTGTACATTCACACTCTTAATACTCAAAGAGTTAACCAAAAAACATGATTTTAGCTGTTCTCAAAATGCATCAAGGGGGTCACACGTGACACATTCAGTTTGTCCATTGCTTTAAACTTTAGTCATATTTACCCAATTTACTGCAATGTGCGACTGGCTGCCAAGGGAATAATTTTTTTCCGTCTGTACAATATTTTCCATTCTCTAGCTCATTCAGCCAAGATTCTGCACAAATACAGTTTTCTCTGTCTCATGAATGCACATGAAAGGTTTTCAGTTCTGTCTATTTGCCTTTTTTTTAAAAAAACTAGAACATATTACATAACATTATTTAAAAATAAATAAAACATTTTCTGAAAAAAGCTGCAGCTCAGATAATATTAGTCCAGTTGGATGAGATAGTTGGAATAAATAGTATATAACATTGTTTAATGAAATTAATCCATTCATCTTATAACCATCACCTCTGTTGGTGCAGGGTTGTAGACCCCAGTTCTCTTGATAGAATTATTAAATGAAAAAAATACTAAGAATTAAAGTGCACTGACCAGGGAGTTTCCAATTAAGCCAGAATAGCTGGGCTGGAAAAAAAGCAGAGTTAAATGAATTTCCCTAATTCCGTTAGTTTGGCTTGAAAACAGTCATACAGTGAGGGAAAAAAGAATTTGACCCCCTGATGATTTTGAATGTTTGCCCACTGACAAAGAAATTATCAGTCTATAATTTTAATGGTAGGTACTTTTTAACAGTGAGAGACAGAATAACAAAAAAAAATCCAGCAAAACGCATGTCAAAAAAGTTATAAATTGATTTGCACGTCAATGAGTGAAATAAGTATTTGATCCCCTATCAATCAGCAAGATTACTGTCTCCCAGGTGTCTTTTGTACAGGTTACAAACTTAGATTAGGAGCACTCTCTTAAAGGGAATGCTCCTAATCTCAGCTCGTTACCTGTATAAAAGACACCTGTCCACAGAAGCAATCAATCAATCAGATTCCAAACTCTCCACCATGGCCAAGACCAAAGAGCTGTCCAAGGATGTCAGGCACAAGGCTGGAATGGGCTACAAGACCATCGCCAAGCAGCTTGGTGAAAAGGTTACAGCAGTTGGTGCGACGATTCCCAAATGGAAGAAACACAAAAAAGCTGTCAGTCTCCCTTGGTCTGGTGCTCCATGCAATATCTCACCTCGTGGAGTTTCAATGATCATGAGAACGGTGAGAAATCAGCCCAGAACTACACGGGAGAATCTTGTTAATGATCTCAAGACAGCTGAGACCACAGTCACCAAGAAAACAATTGGTAACACACTATGCCGTGAAGGACTGAAGCACCCGCTCAAGAAAGCACATGTACAGGCCCATCTGAAGTTTGGAATGAACATCTGAATGATTCAGAGGAGAACTGGGTGAAAGTATTGTGGTCAGATGAGACCAAAATCGAGCGCTTTGGCATCAACTCAACGTGTTTGGAGGAGGAGGAATGCTCCAACAACACCATCCCCACCGTCCACCATGGAGATGGACACATTATGCTTTGAGGATGTTTTTCTGCTAAGGGAACAGACAACTGCACTGCATCAAAGGGACGATGGACAAAGCCATGTAGCATCAAATCTTGTGTAAAAACCTCCTTACCTCAGCCAGGGCATTGAAAACGGGTCGTCAGCCTCGAAAACTTAATTACTTGGAGAGGATCTGCAAAGAAGAGTGGGACAAAATCCCTTCTGAGATGTGGGCAAACCTGGTGGCCAACTACAAGAAACGTTTGACCTCTATGATTGCCAAAAAGGGTTTTGCCACCAAGTACTAAGTCGAAGGGGTCAAATACTTATTTCAGTCATTGACATGCAAATCAATTTATAACTTTTTTTACATGCGTTTTTCAGGATTTTTTTTGTTATTCTGTCTCACTGTTAAAATACACCTAACATTAAAATTATAGACTGATCATTTCTTTGTCAGTGGGCAAATGTTCAAAACCAGCAGGGGATCAAATACTTTTTTCCCTCACTGTATTCTTATCAATTCTCCACATGGTTTAGTAAATATTCCTAGAAGAAGTTGAATGCCAAGCATAAAATCAGTAAACAATTAATTGTATTGACGGTGTTAAAAAACCCTTAGCGACATACCTGGACTGCCATAGTGAGGTCCAAGGACCTCTCCCTTCCTGACTTCTTGTATTGGGCATACTTCTGTATTGGACATAACCTATTTTAATGACACTAGCATAGCCTGTGGCTAACCTTCTCCCTAAGTTCGTTGGCTAATACGGATCGTCCTGTGTGTGCAATTAAACAACAGCTAAAGTAAACAGACTGTGCTGTAAGATCTGATTGAATTTATTTATTTTTTTTTTTTTAATGGAGGTTGTGTGAGTCACAGTGAGGAGATGTGTGGATTGGGATTAGCTCACTGGTTGAGAGAGACCTGCAAGATTTAGCTCAGGAGAGCTAATAGAAGGTCCTAGGCAGCAGATTCCAGCTCTCCTGGGAGCTGCAGTGAGCTGGGGAGTTGTGACAGGGACCCTAGTTAAGAAGTCAAACTGTTCTAAAATACAGTGTAGTACAGTGATGGTGAACCTTTTTCAGCCCGAGTGCCCAAACCGCAATACATGCCAACGTTTGTTTCTTCAAAGTGCCAACACTGCAATTAAACCTGAATACTGATGTTTAAATTTAGAAAAAACAACTCGTACTGCTGAATACACACACACAGACTGCTGAATACACACACACATGGCATTGAGGGATAAAGTGTGTGTGTGTGAGGGGTGCTGTGTGTGTGTGTGTGAGGGGTGCTGTGCTGTGTGGGGGTAGGGGTGCTATGCTGTGTGGGGGGTAGGGGTGCTGTGCTGTGTGTGTGGGGGTAGGGGTGCTGTGTGTGTGTGTGTTGGGGTGGGGTGCTGTGTGTGTGTGTGTGTTGGGGGTGGGGGTGCTGTGTGTGTGTTGTGGGGGTAGGGGTGCTATGTGTTGGGGTGCTGTGTGTGTGAGGGGTGTTGTGTGTGTGTGTGTGTGAGAGGGGTGCTGTGTGTGAGGGTAGGTAGGGGTGCTGTGCTGTGAGGCGGTAGGGGTGCTGGGCGGGGGTAAGGGTGCTGTGCTGGGGGTAGGGCTGCTGTGTGTGTGTTGGGGTAGGAGTGCTGTGTGTGTTGGGGTAGGGGTGCTGTGTGTGTGTGTGGAGGGGTAGGGGTGCTGTGTGTTGGGAGGTAGGGTGCTGTGGGAGGTAGCGGTGCTGTGGGGGGTAGCGGTGCTCTGGGGTGTAGGGGTGCTGCATGTGTGCTGGGGTAGGGGTGCACTGTGTGGGTTGGGGTGATGTGTGTGGGGAGATAAGGGTGCTCTAGGGGGGTAGGGGTGCTATGTAGGGGGAATTGCCTGGGGTGCTGTGTGTGGGGGGTGTGTAGAGGTGCTCTGGGGGTAGGGGTGCTGTGTGTGTGTTGTACATTTGTGGGTGGGGTGCTGTGTGTGTGGGGGTAGGGGGTGCTCTGGGGGGGGTAGGGGTTGCTGTGTGTGTGTGTGTTGGGGGTAGGGGTGCTCTGTGTGGGTAAGGGTGCTGTGTGTGTGTTGGGGGTAGGGGTGCTGTGTGTGTGGGGGTGGAGGGGTGCTCTGTGTAGGTAGAGGTACTGTGTGTGGGGAGGGGGTGGTTAAAAAAAAAAAGTATACTAAATCTGTATCCCCCCTCCCTCTTGCTTACCTTTAATGAAGGAGGGGGGACACAGCCATCCCTGGTGGTCCGGTGGTGGTAAGTACAATTCTGACCCTTTGACCTGGGAATGAGGTTTTTGCTCACATGTGCAATTACAAAGAGAACCTATGCCATTTTGCATATTAGACTGATCGCACCCATAAGGATAGTTCAGAACCAAAATGTCAGAAAGTCCTCTCTGCACAAGAGATACAGTAACAAATGATGATCTTTCTGACCTTCTTGTCAGTGTTTCGGCAAGTGAAAGAAGGCTGAAATTACTGCTATGGTAAACCACGGCAATGATCGGCTACAGTAGAAGGAGAACTTGAGGGCGGTTTGCCCGGTGAGATAGATCTTTGATCTCGTCACCAGCCGTGGAGTCCATTCTTTATGGTAGTGCCAGGCCTACAGCGGAAGGTGGGGAGATCCCTTGATTTTCCCTGTTGGCCTTAGGTTTTGTTCTCTCAATGTGGCGAACGTATGGCTCACATGCCAAAATACACAAACAGGCCTTTGCGTGCCAGCTGCGGCAAATGTGTCATTAGTTCACCATCACTGGACTATGATGAAGATATTAATAAAGTGTCCACATCAGAGATTCTATCTATTTATTCTCCTTTACCTTATTTCAGCAAACACTAAAGTAAATTACCAGATTTTACTAATTACATGACGTAAAGTCATGATTTTATAAAGGACACGGAGGCGAGTATTAGGCTTTCCTCTTTCTTTATTCCTCAGCAGCAAAGAAAAGCTAAGGTGTTTATTTGTAGAAAAAAGGAAAAGAAAACATGTATAACTACCCTCACAGGGTTAACATTACATCATTATCTCCTATCCAATAGGAGCAGTCCTTCTCTGATATCCTTTCCTGTAACCTCCTCCTCTTCCTCTTTCTTGATGTTGCCGAAGCTAAAGTTCGTTTCTGTACCAAGTAACTATCCACTCGGTCGAACACAACCTAAACACAAAAAACAGTTGAACATTGAACTTGACCGTGAACTCTTCCATGGGGAATAAAACGCCGGGGTCCTCCGGAACTGATCCCCTTGAACTTGAACTTGTCGTCCATACTAGGAGTTGTAGGATTGTTCACGCTGGAAAACAAAGAAAATAGTGGTAAAGCGTGTCCTTGCCAACTATCGTCGTTTTACTCTTATATATCAAACTTGAGCTGTTTATGAAAACCGTTATGTTTAACCAAACATGTCATTGCCAACAACGTTATGTATTACCAAGAACCACTTATATGAAAAGGGAACTCTTTCTACCAAAATACCTAGTACGTACCTGGGTTGGGATACACAACTTGTGTATCTGTTCCGGGCGGGCTAATACTCGCCTCCGTGTCCTTTATAAAATCATGACTTTACGTCATGTAATTAGTAAAATCTGGTAATTTTATTAAAGGACACGGAGGCTCTTATTAGGCTAGTTCAAAGCTGTGAAATAACTAGGCTCGACACGTGTTCTGTTTGCCGAAAATAATATTCTTTAAACGTTGATTCCCTGGACCAGTCTGCCGTTCTCATGAGGTCCTCTAATCTACAACCTAACGTGAACACTTTCGATGCCATGGCTCCTCTAGTAGAGTGTGCGCCATATACGGAGGTATCTATGTGAGCTAACGTCATTATCCATTTCACCCAGCGGGCGAGGGTTACCGTGGAGACAGGTTGATGTGGTTGTCTGATGGCCAGAAACAATTCCGGATGTGTTGATTTCCTGAATTCCGAGGTTCGTTTCTCATATTCTCGTAGGCAGTGTACTGGACAGAGCTTCTCGTTGTGTGGGAACGAAGGGTATGAGACTGATGTAATTGACGATTTCGTACGTCTGGAGATGTTGAATGAGACTCCTGTGGGGGTAAAGGAGCGTGCATCAACATCCAGTGCTCTAACGTCTGATACCCTCTTGCAAGATAGCAGGCAGAGGAGCATGGTCAGTTTCGCTGACAGTTGTTTGAGCGTAAGTGTTTAGTTTTGAGGCCAGGACTCTAACAGCGTCAGCACGGAGTTGACGTCCCACAATGACGAATATCGGGGTCGTGGTGGGCGGGCAAAGCGAATGCCCCTTAGGAGACGGCATACAAGAAGTTGCTGACCCATTGGGGTTTCCTCTATACCTTGGTGCCCTGCTGAGATTGCTGATCTATAGACGTTGATGGTCCGGTAGGCCAAACCTTGATTATGTAGGTTGGTGAGGAACCGTAACAGATAACTTACAGGAGCACGTACGGGATCCACTTGTTGTTCCATGCACCAACTAGCCCATCCGTTCCAGGCATAGAGGTAGGAGCGTCTAGTTCCAGGTGCCCAAGCTCCCGACAGTAGTTCGACAGTGTCCTGTGGAACGTCCGGTATGCTCCAGGGTCCCCTGAAAGGAGCCACGCTAAGAATTTGAGTCGCCCCTGGGTCATGAGGGGATGTGGATTGCCCTCTGGGTCTGATAAAAGGAACCAGGGGTCCGGGAGTAGTCTCGGGAAGTCCATGGACATTTCCATTAGAGTCTGGAACCACGGTTGGGTTGTCCAAAACGGTGTTATGAGGACCAGGGTCGCTTGAGTACGTCTGAGATGTACTATAGTGCGAGCTATGAGGGAGAACGGAGGGAAGGCATATAATCGGCTGTTCGGCCAGTGTTGGAGAAAAGCGTCCGCTGCTAGTGCGTCTGGGTCTGGTCTCCAACTGAAGAACGTTGGCAGTTGTGAGTTCAGCCGGGATACGAACAGGTCGATTTGCATCGGGCCCCAGAGCGCCTGAAGCTGTAAGAACACATCGCGGTCCAGTCGCCAGTCGCTGGCGTCTTGTATGTGTCTGGAATGCCAATCCGCTACCACGTTGGACATACCCGGGATGTATTCCGCTTGGACCGAGATGTTGTGTTCCAGGCAGTGTTGCCAGAACTCCTTGGCCAGGTCCGCCAAAATCTTCGATCTCGTGCCACCGAGGTGGTTGATGTAGCGGACTGCGGAAATGTTGTCCATGCGTAGGACGATGGAGCAATTGGTTATGCCCCCGAGGAGGCTCTTAAGGGCAAAAGATCCCGCCATGAGTTCCAAACCGTTGATGTGTAATTGTTTCTCTGAGCACGACCAGGTTCCTCCGGTGGAGGTAGGCCCGCAGCGCGCTCCCCAACCGTGCGTGCTCGCATCGGACTCTACGATGAAGTCTGGGGCAGACCCGAATATTGCTCTGCCGTTCCACGCCTCCATGTGTAGCAGCCACCATGTGAGCTCCTGTTTGGCCTCGTAGTCGAGTGGCACAGAGTCGGAGTACGCATGCCCTGAGCGTAGTTGTGTGGCCTTTAGACGCTGTAGGGCCCTGTAGTGCAGTGGCCCCGGGAATATGGCCTGGATGGAGGCTGAGAGGAGTCCGATTACTCTGGCTAGTTGCCGGAGTGTCAGTACCGGCCTCTTGAGTGTTCTGCGGATCTCCTTTTTGATGAGTTTGACCTTGTCCGTCGGTAAGCTGAGCGTCCCGGTAGTCGCATCTATGTGAAAACCCAAGAATTCTATGTTCTGGGACGGGGTAAGCACCGATTTTTCCCAGTTGATGAGAAATCCCAGATTTTGCAGCAGTGACACTGCCCATGCCAGGTGCTGTTGCAATTGACGGGCCTCGTGCGCCATGATCAGCATATCGTCCAGATAAATGATCATCCGTACTCCTCTGCTGCGTAGAGAGGCGACCACCGGCTTCAGCAGCTTGGTGAAGCACCAAGGGGCCGATGAGAGACCAAAGGGAAGTCAGCGGAATCGCCACATTGCCGCTTCCCATTGGAATTGGAGCAGGTGGTGGCACTCCTCCGCAATGGGGATTGTAAGATATGCATCTTGGAGGTCCAGCTTCACCATCCAGTCCCCTAACCTGAGCAGGTCTCGCAGGCAGTGGATACCCTCCATTTTGAAATGGTGGTACCGCACAAATGCGTTTAGTGGCCGCAAGTTGATGACTGGGCGTACTCCGCCGCCCTTCTTGGGTACCAGAAAGAGATTGCTCATGAACCCAGGGGATGGTGAAGGGACCCGGTATATGGCGCCCTTCGCTTGGAGGGTGCGAATCTCCTCACTCACCAGGCCCTTGTCTTGTGGGGAGAAAACTATGCGGTGTGGCCTGTGCGTTTGGACCGGGGGTCGCACAAACTCTATGTGGTAACCCCTGATGGTGTTGAGGACCCATACGTCCGCAGTCAGCTGTTGCCAGGACTCTATAAAGTATAACAGTCTGCCCCCCACAGTCGGTACACCCGGGAGGGGGGGAGGTAATACACTTACCATAAGGTCGGCGGCTGTACGAGTTGCCTCTGGGTCCCCGAGGTTGCCATGGTCTGGCCATGACCGGGAAGAAGGGTGAGGGCGTACGACTCTCTGGCGGCTGGAATCTAGCCGTGGCGGGACCTCTGTATTCCCGGTAGGAACCGCGGGAAGAACGGCCGGGCAGACGGCCCCGGTGTCTGCCGGCCCTACCAAAAACTCTGGGAGAGAACACTCTTTTTAAATTTGTCTGTGCCTTGTCTAGGGCCGTAAATGTGCTCACATAAGTTCCCAGTTCTTTAACAAAGTTGTCTCCGAACAGGAGACCCTTGGCTTGCGGCCCCGGTTCGGTGAGAGCCATGTTAACTAGCTTGGGCTCGATTTTCATTAAAATAGTTTTGCGCCTTTCCGTGGCCAGTGCAGCGTTAGCGTTGCCGATGAGGCATATCGACCGTTGGGCCCAGCCTCTAATGGCTAGTAAATCAAGAGGCGTTCCCTCATTTAAGGCCGCTTCGACCAACTCAAAAATCTTGGCACTAGGGCCCAATGTATCCAGCACCTTATCTTGATAGTGGCATAGGGAGTAATCAAGTCCCTTCTTCGCCTTCCAGCCAGACTTACCCAGGAACTGTGCTATTTTGGGGTCGACATCTGGTGTGGCACAGGCCATGTCGGGCACTGTCGGGCGTGGGCATTCAGCCCGTAATTTTTGCCTGGTGGCTTTATCGAAAGGTTTGCGGATTCTGGCCGCTATGTATCGTGCTACATTGTCGGTTGGATACCACTCCGCCGACCCCGGGTTTTGTAAGGTATCTGGGTCGAACAGAGGTTCGCCCTGGGGGTCCAGAATAGCGGTGTCATCCGCCGTGTCATGCACGGGGTTGGCTGGATTGCGTGTCGGACTCTGGTCCGGGGAGGAAAACTCCCATTCTTCTGAGTCGGCTGGGTCCGACTCGTTCAAAACCTCCTCACTATCCGAATCAGTGTCGGAAGAATCTGACAGGGCTTTTGCCCTCTTCCATGTCCGCGCCGCTTTTGCCCGGAGGGTGGCTCGTTTTCGTGGGGCCCCACGACCTCAGGTGCGACAGGACGTACCCTGTCCATCAGTCTAGTTTTGGAGGCATGTGTTCCCACATTGTGGGTTTTACTCACGGCCTTACGGCCCTCTCTGCTTAAAGGTTCCCCCTCTGCGGCCCTGGCTTGAGTCATGTTGGGGTTAGATGCCTTAATGGCACTCGAAATGGAGTGTGACAAGTTATCCGACATAACCCCCATGGCGGTAAAGATAGCTTGGGTAACCGATTTTGACATGGTGGCGTCCAGGAGCGAGTGGAACTCCTCAGAGTCCAATTGTTCCAGAGGGGCCACCATGTCCCTATGCAGGGATATGGGTTCAGCCACAGAGGGCCCGTGCTGGGCCTTGGTATCACCTCTATCACTGGGGCCAGGGGCAGAGAAATCCTCAGGGGTCTGCATCATGGGTTTAAAAGACAGGATTATGTATATGGCTACATGATGTGTCAGTAATGAGCTACTAAAAACAGGCAAGAGACAAGGCAGCAGGACAACAAGCACAGAATGTACTGTTAGCTTACCGAGTGTTCCCTCAGGAATGGCTCCTGGGATCACTGGCAAGCTAACAGTACAGCAAACAAACCAATCAGCTCGCGCCCTGCAGTGGGCTGAATGAGCTGAGGGAGAAAAAAGAGCGGCAAAATTTTTTCTAGTGCCGCCCCTTTAAGATGGGCGCCAGTACGGGCCGCGCATGCGCGCGCGCGCGGCGCTCATGAACGAGAGGCCGCGGCGGGGGAACCCTCCGCCGGGAGAGAGAGCCGGTCCGGTCCTCGAGGATTCCCTGCGCCGCGTGACCGATGAGGGGGGTAATAAACTACCCAGCGGCAAGTGTGGAGCCGGTATCCCCGCGGGGGGGCGGGGTACCGGCGGGACAATGTGGGAAAGGGGCCCCCCCACGGAGGGTTAGCTTGAAGGGGGGGTGTACACCAAACGCACAATGCGTTCTGCTGAGTTTAAGTCAGGTCACAAAACAGGCATAATTTAAAATAAAGTCATACACACATATATAAGTACAAATGACAGTTAAGAGAAAAAACAAAGTGTTACTTAGCTGAGGCAGCAGCAAAGAAAGAGGAAGAGGAGGAGGTTACAGGAAAGGATATCAGAGAAGGACTGCTCCTATTGGATAGGAGATAATGATGTAATGTTAACCCTGTGAGGGTAGTTATACATGTTTTCTTTTCCTTTTTTCTACAAATAAACACCTTAGCTTTTCTTTGCTGCTGAGGAATAAAGAAAGAGGAAAGCCTAATAAGAGCCTCCGTGTCCTTTAATAAAATTGGAGGATTACGTGTTAATTCTATTCTTATACAAAACCACGTTGTTTACAGGATCCATAACAGTGCATATTATTCTGGATTTCTATCTCTGGGTATCATGCATTATTTATTATTAAAAAAAAAAACGTTCTAAATAAAGACTAAATGTAGCCCTACAAAGAAAAGCATATCTTCCAGGCATGAATGTCAGGGCTTGGTCGAGCATTGAACAACTGTATCACATCTCAGGGGGAAATGGTTGTCTGGAGAGTGGATTCAAAGACAATAAATATAATATGATTATCAACATCACTTCTTCTACGGCACTGGAGGATTAACTCATGCAAACAGAAATCCTCTGCTCAAGGTATGAAATACCACCAAAAGGAATAATGTTTTAAATACATTAACAAATTAACTCCGTCTCCTGATATGGAACAATAATGAGTGTGCAGGAAAAAAATATGCAAAGTAGATACACAGCAGTACTGTCTAATGGGTATGTAAGAAGTCTAAAATTCAAGTTATTTGTTATTGTTCCCAATGGGAAAATATTAAAGCATTTCTGTCACCCCCCAAAAAACATTTGAGCATTTCATACAACGTAGAATCTTTATGGAATGCTCCTAAAGACTGTGTTAGAATTTCACTGTGCAGTCAAAAGTTATCATAAGGCAACCTATGGACTACTTGTTCTTATGGTAAATCCTCCAGTTGTCAAAACCTTAAAAAAGGCTGTCGCTAGTGACAGTTGTGGGAATACAGCATTATCTTGCTCATCACTAGATATATTGCAAAATATGAAAAGACCACAAAAGGTGACAAAATGTCTGAATTTCTCCAAAAGCAAGTACAAGAGAGGTGACAAATGCTCACTGCAAGTATTACATGCAAAGAATTAGGTGTTTATAAAACAGAGTATTAAAAGGAACACTCTAAACACCATAACCACTACAACACAATGTAGTGGTTATGGTGTCATGAGTGCCCTGGGGTCCTCCCAATGTAAGTAGTTAAACTGATTAGTAACCGCTTCCTGCCTCCTCTCAGACAGAAGTGAGAGCTTCTTTTAAGAAAAGAAATACAAATGACTGTAGAAAAACTAGCATTTCTGGTGAATACAGGCAGTGGCATCATGCATGCAGAGGCGGCTCTCTAATTAGGCAATTTAGGCCCCTCCACGACCCCCTACCTCATGTTACTGCCCCTCCATCCTCCCTACTCCATATTACTGCCCCTCTACTCCTTCTGTCATTGCCCCTCCATTCCCCTTCCCCTGTTACTACCCCACCTACTCCCTGTTACTACCCCCTGTCAATGCCCCTCCTTCACCCTACCCTGTTACTGCCCCTCCAGCCCCCTACCACCTCTCACTGCCCCTCCATCCCCCTACCCCCTGTTACTACCCCACCCCTGTCACTGCCCCTCCATCCCCCCTGTTACTGCTCCCTCCATCCCACTACCCCTGTTACCACCCCCACCCCCTGTAATGCCCCTCCATCCCCCTCTCCATCCCACTACCCCCGTTACCACCCCCACCCCCGTAACTGCCCTCCATCCCTACCCCTGTAATTTACATGGTGCCCCAAAAAATTGTGAAATTGTTGTTATTGTATATACTATTATAATACAGTAACATTTTTTATAAACTTATTTATAGCTTTAAAAAAAAAAAAAAAGGCAGAGCAGGTACTATCGGATCCATCTATGCTGATCCAAAAAAGGCAACAAATCAGGGCCGGCCTTTCCAGTGGTTCCAGGCAGCACTTTTACAGGGGCTGCATTTTACCACCCATGTACACTGTAAAGTACCTGCTGTGAAGCCTGGGACGCCTATGCATATATATATATATATATATATATATATTTGTGCTCGGAATTTAATACGTAATGGATAGTTTCTGAAAGGGCAAAGTTGGTTGTGGTGTGCCGAAACCAACGTACGCGTAGGCCTGTAAATAAAAGAGGGCCCACCAGGGAGAGTGTAATGATAACAGGGTGTAGGTGGGTGGGGATGATCAACTGAACCGGCAGAGGTGAGTAGGGGCTGGGAGTTTAAGTAGGGGACTTACTCCTCCCACAAATTTAGGCCTAATGGCCTTTCTACTTGTGCTCGGAATTTAATACGTAATGGATAGTATCTGAAAGGGCAAAGTTGGTTGTGGTGTGCCGAAACCAACGTACGAGTGGGCCTGTAAATAAAAGAGGGCAAAAGAGAAGTTCGAGAAAATACACACTTTATTGCATTTTTTACATAACCAAGTTCCTGAAAGCTTGACGAAGCTCTTTTTCTGGTCGATATATGGAGGATTTCAAACGACCCAGTTTCTTGATGATGTGGGTGTTTGTGCTAGAGGCTGATGAAGCAGCTCCTATGCGGAATGAGTGCCCGGAAAATGAAGCCAGATTGTAACCCAGTTTGGATAGTACTGTTCTGACGTGTGCCGTGAATTTAGCCGTGGTGAGCGGGTGCCCTTGTAGTGATAAGAGCGGAGAGTCTGGTAAGTGCGCGTGATGGGTTGACCGTAGGTGATCTAGCACCTTGACCGGACACCAGGCATTATCGGTAGGGAAGAGAGGAATTATGGTGGGGTGTTGTGAGTGGTTAGTTTTTGTTGATGGGATCATAAGTAGGTAGTGATCCTCCACCTTAGTGAGGTGTGATGTTTTTAGGCTGTGCGTGATATCTCCTTGACAAACAACGGTGATCTCTCTGGGTCTGAGAAAACCGTAGAAAGCAAGATAAATAGCGGATTTGATGACCAGGTTTGTGTTGGGATTGAACAGGAATTCATCAAGGAAATTGCTAAGTGATTTAAAGATAGGTCCATCTATAGGTAGTCTTGTAGTGGTGAGTGGAACCAAAACCTTTAATATACCTTTCAGGACTTTTTTAGTGGGATATGATGACAAGAAGGGGGTGTTGTTAGGAAAATTGGTGAGGCTATGGTGCTGAACCCCGGTGAGGTAAAGTTTAATGGTGTTGTGAGAAAGCCCGTAGGGAGTGCCTGGAAGAATACCTGGAATTGAGAGCGAGAAAGAGCATCATCGGCCGTGTTGTGGGTGCCCGGGATGTGAAAACAAACTATATGAAACTGGACGGTTGCTGCCAGCCAGGTCAGCTTGCGAATCAGCCGCATGATGGTAAGGGACGATGAGCGCCCCTTGTTAATGATTTCGTAAGCCGCCGAGTTATCAGAATAGCATTTTACTGCCTTGCCGGACCAGAGATGACCCCAAGTGTGTGCGGCCGCCACGATGGGATAAATTTCGAATAGGGCTGAGGTCTCCCTGAATCCTGGCAAGGCATGCGTCTCAGCGGGCCAGTGACCCCTGAACCAGTGGTTCCTGAAGATGGCTGCGAAACCAGTGTTGGCTGCAGCGTCTGTGTGGATGATGGGTGAACAAGTGGAGAGATGGGGGATAAACATGGAAATACCGTTCCAATCTGCCAAAAACGTCCCCCACATAGCTAATTCGGCCTTTGCGTGGGGCTCCAAAGAAACTGGGCAAGACTCTGGTACCCCGTGGAGCAGGCAAAGAAGCCTGGATATAAAAGACCTTAAAAAAAAGGCTCTATCTATGATTTGGCTTAGAGAAATCGTGGCAACAGACGTGGTGGCGGGGTGTTGGCCTCTCAGTGACTGTAAAGAGATTCAAAACTTGTGGCCGTGTAGTAGGGTGGGCGAGGCATATAACTATGATTTGGGTGTGGGGCAGTACCTCCGTGTTGAGGTGGGAGATGGCCTCGCTGGACCAGATTTGTTTTACTAGGGTGAGCTAGGGCGGTAGCCTAGACCCTGCAAGCCAGTTCACTTGTATACTAAAGGTTGAATGGTAATTCTGGTGTAATGTGTGGATACTAACTTTGAAGGGTTTATAATAGAGAGCTGGAAACTTCAAATGTTTTTATGTAGCGAGTCTTGGCTGCTGCTGTCCTCGTAGAAGAAGCCTAAGGATTAAGACATATGTTGATGTATTTATGCGTAAGGGTAAGGGTTGTCTGTTAGGGGCGCAACGTGAGATCCTGAAGTGAGGGATCTGAATGGTTAGTCTAAGACTGAGGCGAGTTTACGTTACAGAGAGAGGCTGATTGAGGCCTTGGGGTAGTGAATGCCGTAACGAATAGGGACGTAAGTACCTGGTAGTGTGGCTGAGTACCGGGTTTAGGTAGGTTGGGTAATTTCTTGCCTGATGGCAGTATGACCGTATTCCTGGGTAAGAAAAATTTAGAGAATTTAACACACCAAGGACGTAGGACCTTGAGTTAGTTGTAATAAATCAAGACCGCGTTAGGTCTTGTATGAAAAAGGTCCTGTAATGAGTAGAGAAATATACCTTGATTTGTTATACGGTTACTAGGATGAGCGTAACTGGTGTCCCTGCGTAGAATCCGGTGGAGGCCTAGAATAATTCTGGAGCTACGGATTAAACCCATTAAATATTTGATAATTAGCGAATGCTGTGACAGTATGTTATAAATAACCAATTTTTTCTGTGATAAGTTTAGAGTGCATGCAGTATTGAGGCATGGAAATGGTTGACACCATGGTGAGTAAATACTATACCTGGGTTTGTAAATACAAGACCTTGAATTTGCTAACTTTAAGCAGAAATAATAGAACTGAGGCAATCTGTGGAGCCAAAGAAATGTAACAGTGACTGCGTAACTTTAAGGAGAAAACGTAGTAGATTAAAAAATAAAATTTTAGGGGTTTTACCAATATTACCCTAGGAGATCGTGTTAATAATAATATATGTATGTTGTGTTTGAACAGAGTTGTTGTGGACTTTATAGAATTCTGCCCTTTTGTTTGGTGTCAGGAGGATTTTGTTTTAATTGATAAATGAACGTAAAACATGAATTACTAACCACGTGGGTGTAGGAAAAAGAACTGATTACTAAGATACAGTGGCTACGGTTTTTTATTTTTAGACATAGTTAACCGTAAAACAAAGTTTAGGTTATAAATGGTTGTAGTTTATAAATTTATTTAATAACTCCTACTGACAGGTAGTACAAACAGTTAAATAACCGAACAGACAGTATATGTAATAAAGTGAATTTGTGTACATGAAATGTTTGTATTATACTGAACGGGGATCGGTAGTTTTAGCCGAACGTGGGACCTGCTTAGGTTAAGTATAATGTGCGTTCGTTTACTCCCGCACGAATAGCATGAATTAGGTACGTTAGCGAGGGGTGAACAGGTTTTACACAATTCGTTTAAAGTGCCCGAACAGGTAAGTAATAAGTACATGGTTCGTGCGTATGACCGAACGGTAAAACAGGATTGAAACGATTAGCCTTAGAGTTATGCTTGTATTTCGGCAGTTAGATCATGCGAAAGCCCCCATGAAACGTAAGTATAGCGAGCGTTCGTCTATTTTAGTGAAGCGAATGCGGAAATGCACGAATAGGTAAGTATACCTAAATTGGTAATGTGATAGAAAAAAGGGAGCCTACCCCTACGTTTTTAGGCCCGAACGGAGTGAAATAGCCGAATGCTATTTCCCTCACAAGCTTACGTGAGCGTGCCGGTCTCGTGACCGGAAGACAAGTACCGCGGCCGTGAAGAAGGCTGGTGGCAGGGCTGCAGAACGAATGGACGGAGGATTCCACTGGAAACCTCTTACTGCAGGAGACTGGAGTCGTTTGGCAGTAAAACTCGGACCGGAAGTGCTGGTTGCTATGGAGATAGACAATCAACTGAACCGGCAGAGGTGAGTAGGGGCTGGGAGTTTAAGTAGGGGACTTATTCCTCCCACAAATTCAGGTCTAATGGCCTTTCTACATATATATCGATTACCGCTATATATATATATATATATATATATATATGTATGCAGTTCTGGGCCCCTGCTAATTTGTGTTGTAGAGCGGGGGCCCAAAAGCCTGATGTTTCCCTCCTGTAGCTTCATATGTTCTCCTCTCGTAACACTGTGAGAGCGTTGCCGCGGGTTGCCATGGCAAAGCTAAGCCTTGCCACGGCAACGCTCACTCGGCTCGCGAGAGGAGAAAACATAAGGCTGCAGTAGGGAAACATCAGACTTCTGTGCCCCTTTTCCACAGGACACAGTAAAATGTGCCATTAGGCCACCATGGAAACTAGTGCTCCCCGCTGACACAGGTAAGAGGCAGGGAGGGTAAAATACACGTAATCATAAATTTTTAAAAAACTGATCACCTCTCACAGCCTCACTACACACACTACAAGCACTACACACAGACACTGCATCCAGTACACACAGCCAGTGCATCCACTACACACAGACACTGCATCCACTACACAGACTCTGCATTCACTACACACACTACACACAGACACTGCATCCACTACACACATACTCCACTACATGTACTACAAACACATACATTGCACATACTACATGCACTACAAAGAGACACTGCATACACTATATCCACTACACATATACACTGCATTTACTACACACACTACATGCACTTAACACACATACACTGCACACACTACATGCACTACACAGAGACACTGCATCCAGTACACACACTGCACACATTACCTGCACTACACACAGACACTGAAACCACTACACTTTACAAAAGACACAAACACAGACACTGCACACAATACACTACATCAACTACACAGCCACTGCAGCCACTACACAACATCCACTATAAAGACATTGCACCCACTATCCTGCATCCACACATACACTGCATCCACTACACACACACACACACACACACACACACACACGCACTCTGTATCCACTATACACACTGCATACAATACACACACTGCATCTCCTAAATGTGCGCAAGGGGATGTTGGGGTGGGGCAGCATTTCATCCTTCGACCCAAGCAGCACAATGTCTTGGGCTGACCCTGTTTTTAAGTCATACATGTATAGTGAAATTACACTTATTTGCACTTTTATGTGATGATGTCATTTGAAACTGATATTCACTTTAATGTAGTATTTGGTTTACATATGGTACATGTATTTGAATTTCATATCAATTAATTTCTACTGGGTATGTTTAACCACACAACTAAATATGTCTAAGTTTGATCTTCCTATACAAACCGTTAAAGTCCCTTCTGCAAGTGACAAAGTATATTTAATAGAGATGACAATGGTTCAGAAGGTGTTTTGATGCTGGTAAGCAGCTGACAGAGAACATAATATGACTGTGTCAGCGATGGGCTCTGATAAAGAGAAGGTTCTTGAATTTTATAGCTGGAAAAAGCTGCCCAGTCAATGGGAATTATCTGTTTGTAGCAATTCATTCTGCCATCTTCATCCAGAAACGTCTAATAGAGAACTAAAGAAAACATCAAATGGAGTTTGCAATTTTAAATGTATTGTGAAACCATATACCTGAATATTATTTTCTAAAATGTTTTATTGATCTGAAATGTATAGATGAAGTTTGTCAATGAACAAGAGTAGATATAAATGAACACTCCAATCACAATAACCACGCCAGCCCATTCCGGTGCTTTCCCAGAAGAATTTGGTAAACTATTTAAGAATTGTTTACCATTGTCTCCCAGGCACTCTTACCACATCTGCCGAGTGTCTCCTCTGCCTAATATAGGACAGCAAATTATAGTGGCCCAGGTTGGCCCTATTTAGCCCAGTGGACCGAACAGGATTCTCCTACAAGGAGAATCAGGCAACAGGCATCAGGCAAGACTAAGGTAAGTTGTAAAAAGTCCTTAAACGGTTTGACAAATTTCTGAGGCAGGGTGCCAGGGCACTACTGGCACCAAAACTGTTAAAGTGGACTGTGGTTGTTATGGTGTTTAGAAAGCTCCTTTAATTTTTAATAAAGCAAAATGAACATGATAGAGGAGATTATGAGGAACATGGCAACCAATAGAACAGTTCTCAAACTTTTTAATACTGGTCCTCCCTTTATTCCCAGAACAGCATGATTTCGTGGTGGAATGGACTCAATGTGGTGCGGGAAACACACTAGACCAGGGGTCAGCAACCTATGGCATGTGTGCCATACATGGCACTCAAGGCTGCCAGAGACAAACAGGATCTGGCCTATCAGGAGTCCCAGTGGGTATCTGTTAGTGCAAACTGGGTGCTGATTGCAGAGATGAGGGACAATCATCAATTTACGCATTGCAGCACAGAGTGCCCAGAACTTGTGAGCGGTAATCCGCACTGGAGTACAGCAGCCCAAAGCAGCCCTTGAGCTGTACCTGGCCAGTCCAGTCCCCACTGGACCCCAAGGAAGCCACTCACACTGCTAGATATACACACAGAGCTGCCAATAAGCCTCCCCACATACAAATAATACAAACAGTCCACACACAAACATATGCATTGACCCCACAACCACAACACCACCAGCCTGAACTTTTGACACAAGGCAGATCAGATCTGTTGATTCACATGTTTATGATAAATTCTGACACTAACCTCTGCATGTCTCAGCAACCCTCGAGATTTATCAACAGGAAATATTTTTCTAATTATTAACAGTTTAGTTAAACAGATATGCATACTGAGTAAGTGTACAGATGTACTTAATAAAATGGTGCCTTGGAGCAAATCTGTAAATAACAAATACAAAAGGCTATTTATAAAGCACACCCCAATAACAAATAGTTCTATATGAGAATACACTTAATCATACACTTTTTAAAATGTATTATTTATTACTGGTATTTATGAAGCGCCAACATATTGCGCAGCGCTGTACAATTGGGGAAAAGACAATACAATAAGAACAGACCGATACAAGAGGTAGAGAGGGCCCTGCCCGTGAGCTTACAGTCTACAATTTAAACTGGGGAGGTGAGACAAAAGGCAGCAGAGGAATTTGTATGAGATGGCATTGAGAGTTAATGGTATAACTGCAGCAGCTGATCGCATGTGAAGGTAATAAGTAGAAGGGACCAGGGTGGGTGGGTAGATTGTGCCCAGTAAAATTAAATGGGCTTGTTGCAGGGATAGATGTGAGATTGGCCCTCAAGAGTAGAGAAACAGTTATTTAAATTAATTTATGGCTAGGAGTGGCGAGGCGGAATGGTTGAGCAGACTAGCCATTTATCTCATACAATTACAATATTTGGCAATCAAAGTACTATCAAGCAGATTATTAATAATTACATGTAACTGTAAGTACAAAATTATACAGTAGTAAACTACAGGTACAAATAGTATCATTGTCCTGCAGAACTGTGGAATGAAAATACTAATTTAAAGCTAAGGATCATGCGAAAATTTAGGCCCTTTAGGCTTGTCCAGTTCTGCAGGATGTTGCATATTTTGTTGCCATAGCAACCCTCTGTTTAGTGTGGTTTATAGGGTGGGTTGAAATGAACGAGCGTGCTCTTTGGCACAGCTGTTTGTACCAGTCACATTGATATAAAACAGGGATTGTCATAATTTAAGTTGCAGGAGATAGTTTTGGATATGGAAAATACAGAATCCTGTTTTGACAAACTCAGTAATCAGTATAATTTCTAACATTGATCTAATTGAACATTCTAAAGTCCTTACTGTATGTGCATCAGCAGACTAACACTTTATAAATTATATAAGCCATGAACTAGACTAATGTAGGAAACTGGGTCTCATAAGAAAGTTGATTCAGTAAGGGGTAAATATGCAACAATTTATAGAAAATTTATTTTGTGCCCCATTTCTACTCAGATCTCATTTTTCTGACACTGTGCATTAAAATATTTCACTAAAAAAAATACTGTAATGTAAATGTACTGCACTGAGTCAGAAATGCACCTATGGCGTAAAATAACACTCCAGGTACCAAAACAACTTTATCTAAATGAAGTTGTTATTGTTCCAGGAGGCCCCGGCACATTCTTACATGGGGTTTAACCGTTTTCAAATGATTTAACCCTGAAGTGCTTCCAGCCCCGATTTCCGTTCCCCTTTTTTTTCTTCCAAAATTTCAGATTTGGGAAGTACAGCGTGCCGACAGGTGCCGATTGGCTGAGAGCCAATCAGTACTCCTATTCACAAAACTGGCTTGCAAAGAAATCTACCTTTTGCAAGGAGGGGGGGAGCTGAGATAGATGCTGGAGGTAAATACAGGGTTAAACCGTTCAAGGACATTTAACCCCTTGAGGTAAGTGAGTCTGTGGGTCTCTTGGCACTATAACAACTTCATTTATATAAAGTGTCCCTTTATTTTTTTATATAGAGGGTGTTCACTTTCCACTTTTTTGACTGATCTCCCGCATAAAGGTTCTAACATTAAAGGGACACTCCAGGCACCCAGTCCACTTCTGCCCATTGGAGTGGTCTGGGTGCCAACTCCCACTACCCTTAACCCTGCAACTGCAAATATTGCAGTTTTCATAAACTGAAATATTTACCTTGCAGGGTTAATTTCTCCTCTAGTGGCTGTCTACTAGACAGCCACTAGAGGGCACTTCCTGGTTCATAGCACAGATTTTCTGTGCTATAGCGTCGCTGGACGTCCTCACGCTATGTGAGGACCTCCAGCGTCGCTAAAATCCTCATAGGGAAGCATTGAAAGCATTTTTCAATGCTTTCCTATGGGGAGGTCTAATGCGCGTGCACGGCATTGCTGCGCATGCGCCTTAGGTCTCACCCCGCCGGCGGCCGCGCATGCGCAATCGGTCTCCCCAGCCGAATGACGTCGGCGGGGGAGGAGCGTGGATGGACCCTGGACCAGCGCCGAGGGTTTAAACCCCTTCAGCAACCTGGGATGGGGGGTGGGAGGGAGAGGGGACCTGCAGTGCCAGGAAAACGGTTATTTTATGATAAATAATTTTTCCAGCATCCTTATATATTTGACCACAGGAAACAATTAACTGATGACCAGTTCAGTTCATCAGAAATTAAGGGAGAGAATGGATCTTCTCAGAAGAGCATGCCCTTTAGAGAAGAGTGCCGTCCGTGATGTTTACTATACATCAAACTTGCATCAGAATTTTTAAAGATGGCAGCTGCTGAATGAAAGGACAAATTTACTGCCAACCCCTGCCTCCCAGAATTTCAACTGGTGTAAATAATGACAACCAGTGCTATTTGTGGACATGCTATGTTATTCCCAGGCCTGATTCTGTCTCTTTACCCTAACCCTGTTTAGCTCATCCAGCTCTGTAGTTTTCATACATTCCTAGTTCACACGGCAGCCAACAGATCAGAAATAGAACATTCTGTTCAAAATGCCAGGAAAAACATATAGACTGATACTAGGATGGGGATCGTTTGTCTAAGATGCATCTTTTTTTAATCAACAGTTATAAAACCAAGGCTAGTTTGACATTATTGATAATTTATTTGATGTACTGTTAAAGGTACTTACTCAAGGCTGGATTTACCCTCCTTGCTGCCCCAAGGCCAGTTTACTCAATTCAACCACTCCTCCTTCCCACACATAGATATATACATACATATGCAAAACAAATGTTATGTGCTTGTTGTGTTGCATTTGTGACGGTAGGCTACTTGTGGTGTTCCGGTGCAGAATGGGCTAGCAGGTGAGGGAGATATTTGATTTTCCCTTCTCCTTCCTGCCGCCACAAAGCCGTGGTTTCATTGGCCTTCTGACAAATCGGGCCATGTGCTTATTAATACTATATGGCTTTTATTTCAAATACAATATATTCATATGTTCATGTAAAATCTCAATTAATATCAATGGGTACTTGAGGCAGGGGGTTACCCAAGAGCAGGGGTTCCCAACCCAGTCCTCAAGTACCCCCTACCAGTCCAGGATTTAGGGATTTCCCTGCTGTGTCTAAAGTGTGTGTTGTTGTTTTTTAAAATTTCTTCTAAAATCACCTAAGACACAACTGGATTTAGGGTAATCCCTAAATCCTGGACTGGTAGGAGGCACTTGAGGACTGGGTTGGGAACCACTGCCCTAGAGGAACATTGAAGGACACCAGAAGACAACCAGTGAGGCTCCCTTTATTTTAGAAACTTCCTAATTGTTAATGCCAAAAGGAATACTATATCTATATCCTCAATTAAAGAGACCCTGAACAAGATATACATAATCTTCAGTGAATATCCACAATGACAATTCTCAGGTTATCACCAACTTGTCGCCAAGTTGGTGAGCAGGGATTAAGCAACATGAACATAGTCGGTTTATCATAGTCAGTATTAGTTATCTTTTTACATTTAAAGTTTTAAGGTTCTCATGAACACGTCTCGGTACATTCAAGATTGTAGAACACAAAATCTGCTTTTGCAATTAGCACCAAACAAGAATATAATGGAACAATGGACAGTGCCGTCATACAACGGGTGTTGGGCACTAAACAATGAGTGTGAACTGTGGCAGGAAACAAGAAGTTTCCACAACCTGATTACGGATTTGGGACTTGGGAATATAAACAGTAACCCTTTAAAGGACACATTGGTATGCAAGTATTATCAACTAAGATCAAACCATTTTAAGTTTAACAATGCAATATATCCAAAGATCTCTGCTGTGTTTTCTCACTGTGCTTTGGTGAGAAAGGAGACGTGTTAAGGCAGACATATCAGTAGAATAGCATAGATGCCATGAAGGGTGGCTTTCGGCAGTCATTTGAAGAAATGAAAGTGGGCCAGGATTTTAATGACTCAAATAGGATTATATTAAATATTCTTTTCAGATGTAATAAACATACTATAAATATAATTATGCAAAGAGGTTTGTTTTGGGTCGAAGTTTGACATGCAAGAATGTTTATTTGCAAGTCTCAATCAAGGTTGTTGGGTATGGCAAGGAGCTGTAACCTTCTGGAGAATTTCAACTAAACATCTGCTGATAGACATTTTAAAGGAACATACCAAAATTAATAAGGGGGTGGAAAAGTTAGTTTTCTATAGTAAAAAGATAATTAACCGGATATGGCCACGTTCCGCAAGGACCTGCAAGGGCTAACAACATGCACAGGCATTCTGTAAGACTACTCCCGCAACACCAAGGCACAAATTACCCACCTGCAGCAAGAAATAAACGTGCTCCAACAGCAACAAACCGCCATTGAACAGAGGTTTGCAACTCTTGAAGACTCCAGACATACCAAGACCCTCAAGATCAGAGGGGTAGCAGAGGCAGTCCTTGAAGCGGAGCTACCACACTTTCTAAGGAGACTACTTGGCGCACTACTCACCCCAAAACAAGCGAAATCAATCACAACTATGGGTCTCTTCAGGATCCCACAACCACTCAAGGCACCCACCACAGCACCACGGTATGTGATTGTAAAATTCCAAAGCGGGCAAGACAAGGCGGCGGTGTTGGGCGCACTCAGGGGAAACTCCCCATACAGCTTTGAGGGCCCCTCACTCACATTCTATGCCGATCTATCAGGAGCACCCTGGCCTGAAGGAAATCGCTGCAGCCACTCACAGAGGTATTACGAGCTAACAACATTACTTACCGTTGGAAGAAACACAAAAAATAGTGCAATGTTCTTATGCCATGCAACTGTTTGTGTATGCCTTTGCCTAGCCTGCACCAGCTGTTGTGACAATGTGGGCATACACGTCTATTATCTGCACCACAAAAAAAAAAAGAATAAAAAAAAAAAGAAGATAATTAACATGTATGTGAACAGGTTGTTGATCCAATGAGAAGTCTCATTACCATTATGGACTCAAGTCAAGGAATTTAGCCCATCTGCTTATGGCATAATTGACCATCTTTTCAAATTGTGTTGTTTTTTTGCCTTCTTAGAACTCAATTTTCAGCCTGGATTATTACATAACGCCAAACTGTGGTGGTTATGGTGTCAGGAGTGCACTGGCACAGTCTCAGTGCCACTTGTTAAGTGCGCTGCTTCCGGTTTTCTTGACCTGGAGAAGTCAAACATCAATTTGTTAAAGGACCACTATAGGCACCCAGACCACTTCAGCTTAATGAAGTGGTCTAGGTGCCAGGTCCAGCTAGGATAAACCCTTTCTTCTATAAACATAGTAGTTTCAGAGAACTGCTATGTTTATAATAGGGTTAATCCAGCCTCTAGTGGCTGTCTCATTGACAGCCTCTAGAGGCGCTTCCGCGCTTCTCACTGTGAAAATCTCACTGTGAAAATTGAGAATGCTTTCCTATGGACTGGATGAATGTGCGCGTGGCTCCTGCCGCCCATTCGCATTCAGCCAATGACGGTGATTGTTAGACACAGTTCCATTCACCACACATGAGGACAATTTTGCCTGCACATCCCGTTTGTACGCCTATGCCTGTACTCAAGATCCACTATAGGATGGGTTTATTCACTAAACAGTGAATTGTAGAGAAATGAAAACTGAATTGCAAAACTTGGACTTAAACAACCAAGCTGTTTTTTTCCCCAAGTCATCTATTTTGATTAGAATTTTGCAATTTGGTTTTGAATGTGAAAAATGTATTATTTAATGATTGAGGTGGGCAGAAGGATTTAGGTTTAAAGTTCACTTAAGTTTATGTGATACCTGCCTTCAAGATTAGAGTGCTAAGCCCATGATACACAGCTAGAGTGTTTAAAAAAAAATAAAAAATTCCCTGTATCCACTGGTCTCTGATTTCACGTTAAACAGCTCAGCATTTACAGCTTTAATCTCATTGATATATTCCTTCTGCTGAAACATGCACGGGGTTATGACCTCACTATATGAATTTTCTTTTAAAACACAGTGTCTGTTGGTGTCATGGATTATGTAAGATAAATACCATTAACATGAGTGCTTTACTTGACACCATGTGGGCTGCCTGGCAGGTTGATGATCAACACAGAGATTTAACGCAAACAATACTTTACAACTGTGTAAGACACAGCAGTAATTAGTGTGGACATAATATACATTATTCAGATTGATATTTCCATGGAATTAGAGTCCGTACATTCTACACCACCCCGACAGCAATAACAAATTAGCATTCTTATGAACCTACAGGTAGAGGCGTAACTAGAAACCACTGGGCCCCTGTGTGAAAATTGCCCTGGCCTCCCCCCTCCATGTGTCTACCTCCCGCCACCCTCCCCCATATGTCTTCCATTCCCCGCCCATACGTTCTTTTTCATTAAAAGGTCTACTGGGTTATTCACGAAGGAGTGAATTGCCAGGAACTCAAAGGAGATTCATCGATGTTACTCCAACCATCATAACCACTTCAGTGATTTGAAACATTGCACATTCTGAGCTGTTTACTGAGATATTTGCGATTGCTAGTTGCATCCCCAGCAAACATGACCAAAGCAGTCCAGAATTCTGTTTAATTTCAATTCTGTGCATAAATTACAACTGTTGTCAGCGTGGACAAGTGCGTCGTGAGGAGAGAGGATTCAGTAATTGCGATTAATGAGACAGGAGAGCTGTGGAGCTTGTAAATTAATATAGGATATGTGTATTCCTGTAAATGCATCCTGCAAGTGTCCCTCCAGTATTACCTCCACCAGGTAGAAGAGATTTGAGAAGTATTGCTGTTTGTGCTTTCTGTCCATAAGAATGTATAACAAGGACCACCGTAATTGTCTGCACCAGGCCCAATAGGCTCATAATCCAGACCTGAACCTACACAAATGTTTTCACAACTCATGTTTCACAATGTTTATCATCACTTTCTACAAATCTCCCTGTTCTCAAAACCTATTAAGTATACAAAGGAAGTATTAAAGAAAATATTGAGAAACATAAATCACGGCCTTTACCACCCTAACAACCTATAAGAAGTTCAAGACGAATCATTTCAAACCTGCAGTGGGTTGACATGTTAGAGAAGTGGTACCCAACTAAATCCTCAAGGCACACCAAGACTCCAGAATTCAGTCATTTACTGAATCACCAGTACTTAATTAATCACATTCTGTTTTCTGATTCTTTGCAATAGCACGTTTGCCATTATCAGCTCGGTGAAAATATGCCATATACCTTATGTAAAACATTCAAGTTTCAAGTATTGTGGAGAAACGTTATCACTTTAACGGAACAATCAGACACTTAACAAATTTACTTCCTAAAAGGAATTGAAAAGTCAATAAAAACAATATTCTAACCAATGCCTCAAAAGTGTTTGTGTTTGAGCAGAATGAACAAAACACTTACTCTGACTTGATGACATGTACAAGCAATGTTAACCAACACTCCTGCTTGAATCATTTAGCCATATTAAAGGGAAAATAATTACTTTAACTATAATATAATATAGCAAAATCAATAACATAAACATTGTGCATTATACCTTAAATGCCTGTCTAGAGGTACCAAACATTGCAACTTCTATTTAAAGGAACCTTAAAGACACATAAACAGTTGCACTGTCCATATGGAAAGCAACAGTTTAATGATACACTTGACACTTATTTGCATAATCGATGCACTTAGCTGTCTGTAACGTTCAATTGATGATGTCGTTGAAAAGTCTGCAAATAACTTGTTTTTGATGTTAAAGTGACACTATATAGTCACCAGAACAACTACATCCTTATGTAGTTGTTCTGGTGAGTATAATCATTCACTGCAGGCCTTTTTAATGTAAACATTGCCTTTTCTCTGTTTATATTGCACCCTAGGTACTTCTCCAGTAGCCACTCCTCGTATGGCTGCTAGATGTGCTTCCTGGGGCAGAGCTGTAATGTGTGCAGCACTGCCGTTCAGTGTCTCCACACTCTGGATGGAGACACTGAAATTCCTCATAGAGATGCATTAATTCAAGGGATAAAGGCAATCTAAATGTTGGTTTTAACACTAGAGGGTCAGGAATACATGTTTGTGTTCCTGATCCTATAGTGTTCCTTTAGCATTGCAATATTGCTATTGAGCTTGCCATTAAGAAGTAAATCATGACTTAGGTCTTGTTTTAAGTTGATAACATTTTCTGATATTGGTGACATTATCAGCAACAAAATGCTTCATACATTTTTTTTTTTGCAATTACTTTGAAAAACTATGATTCGAGCAGAAAGTCAAAACACATAATTAATTGGTTATCAATGCTGGATTGCACTAAAATTGCAATACTGAAAAAACTTGGTCAATTAGTGTTTTCTGAGGACTTGGGCCTCAATTTAATAAGCTTTCCAAATGATTTTATATGGTTAGAAAAACTTTTCAAATTATTTAACTACAGATGTCACCATTAAAGTCTATGGAAATTGTTGTAGATTAATTATTGTGAATCATGTGGAAAGCTTATAAAGTCAAAAGCTTGGTTTGGAACACTGATCGAGATGTCTATAGTTTACAAGGACCCTAAAGGATTTTCCTATAGCTCTTTCCATCAAGCTAAAACCCTCCAAAAAGATATTTTAGAGCATCATTGTTTATTTCAGTCTGCACTATTCGTCTAAGTGTCTGAAAGCTTGGAAGTGGCCATAACAGCCACTTAAGAGTTATATTAAATGCACTAAATATTATAAATTCATTGAGTTTGTTACAGTGCATAGAGTCACTGGAACTTCCCTTCCATTCAGTCTTAAACCATCTTCAAGCAGTTTAATAGTGAAGAAGGGGGACCCGTGGCCACCTACAGTCTGGCGCCGTCTGGAGGCATGGCTAATGCAGAGACTATACTTTTTCTTCTAGCCTTACTAATTCATACCGGCAAACGTGAGTATGATAGCTTAAAGGTGGTCAGCTGAAATTCTCAGCAAATCACAACCACCCATTGCTGCTCAGGCTAATGCTTCCTATTTAGTCCAAACAACACAGAGAGGATGGAAGGCCAGCATCAAGTGTCTCCAGGCACTATAACCACCTCAATAAGATGAAGCAGTGACAGTGTCTACAGTGTCCCTTTAAACACTGGATTGCACTGACATGAACTCACTCATATTTTAAGTTATACAAATGCTGTAAGCAAGTGACTTTGCGCTGGAAGGAGGTGTGTAGTTTGCAAGCTAATGACAATGTTGACAAACGACGTGTAGCTTGATTAAAGCTCCCACTTTGTCAGCGTGCGGTTCCTTACGTAAAACTTTAACCTTATTTTAAAGAAAAATAAAATTTGTTGCCCAAGAGGAGTACACAATGCAGGATGAGTGTCCATTCACAGCACATGCACAACAGTTGATGGGTTACCGTCATTATTACACGGTCTGTCTGAGTGAGTCATTGGATTAATCCTTCTTTTTCTTTCCACAGTTACAGTTACCATAACACTTTCAAGAACAGCTTTCTGTGAATGTAAACTCTCAAGCTTGACTAAGTCACAAAACCAGATGGAATTATGCAAAATTCTCTAGATGCAAAGCCCTGATGTGCAGAAGCAGCACGTCCTTGTGTAACAGGCATGATGAAGATACAGTTCTAGCTATTAAAAGGTACTTGTTATAGTATGCACACAATATGTTCTTAAATTAAACAGCATTAAATAGCATCTATACGCTGTGCTAGCAGAAATGTTAGTAAATTTAAAAATATTTTATTTTAATGCCCTTTAATATTTTGTCCTCTCTCCACCTGTCAATCAAATCCACTGAATGACAGGGGGAGCAGGAGAATCCTCCCGAGCAGTAGTTTCTCAATGGAGGAGTATGGCACATACTGAGGCATATGTGCCTGCAGTGAAATCAGCATGTCGGCATCAAAAAAGGGGATTTCCTAACTTGGGGAAGTGTCCCCAAGCATGGCCACTCACAGCAAATCGAGGGTAGAAACAGAGGGTGGATGTTGTAGCAATTTAACACCAACAGCACCTCTAGAATGGCAGAACAGTAGCTGTAACATTATACCACCTCCCAGAACCACTAAATAATAATTTATCTTTATGATAAAATCATAAAACAGGTTTTTTTTTTTGCTTCTAATTTTTGTTTTACATAATTACTGATGCACATTACAATTAGTGCAAAAGCATTGTATCCAGGGCCGGTGCTTGGATTTTTAGGTACATAGGCGAAGATGCATTTTTCCGCCCCCCCCCCAAAATCTTCACCTATGTGCCTCTTAACCAGCCCCTCTCCCCTCCTCTCGACCATTAGTGGTCCCTTCCGTTCCCTGTCCCTTAGTGTTCTTCTCCCCTCCCCCCTTTCCCCCTCCCCCCTTTTTTCCCTGTCTCTTGGTGTTTCTCTCCCATTCCCTCCCTGTCCCTTGGTGCACCCCCACCCCTTTAGTGGTCACACTTCCTGGTGTGTGCCTCCTACCTCTATTGTTGCATTGCCGAGCGGAGCAGATCCCCTAAAGGAGCTTCAGTTTTCTGTACCCGGACGGACTGACAGGGAGTGCTCTCTCTGTGAGCACCTCCTGTCAGTCTGGCCAGGTACAGGAAACAGAAGCTCCTGTACCGCGCTCTGCTCCACTACACTCTGTACACACTGACAGTCACACACTCAATGACAAACACACAGACGTCACTGACAGACACAGACTCATTGATCTGACACACACTCATTCATTGACACTGACAGACCCACACTGATTGACACTCATTGACAGACACACTGATAGTCACACACAGACTCAATGACAAACATACTCTCACTGATTTGACAGACACACACTCATACACTGACAAACACACTCATCATACACTGACAGACACACTCATACACTCACATGCACACACACTCATACAATCACTCACAGACACACAGACAGTCACTCACTCACAAACACACACTGTCACTCACAGACACACACCGCTGTCACTCACAGACACACACACACACAGTCACTCACAGACACACACACACTGTCACTCACAGACACACGCTCAGTCACTCACAGACACACACACTCATGTCACTCACACACACACACGCTCAGTCACTCACAGACACAGACACACACACTCAGTCACACACGCTGTCACACAGACACACACACACACACTGTCACTCACAGACACACACACTGTCACTCACAGACACACACACACAGACACACACACTGTCACTCACAGACATACACACTGTCACTCACAGACATACACATGTCACTCACAGACACACATCACATACATTCACTAATAATTTTATAAATACACATTTTCCACCCAGCCTCCCTACCTGGAGAGCTGGTGTGGATGATGGATCGGTCCCTGAGGGCTGGGGCTGCTGAGAGGCGCGCGGCAGTGCTGTGATCAGGCGCGCGAGGGAGCTCTAATCTCCATCCTCTGCTCCCTCGCGGGCTGCCTACTGATGACGTCATATTCCGGCTCCCGCGGCATCAGTAGGCAGCGCGCGAGGGAGCAGAGGGTGGAGATTAGAGCTCCCTCGCGCGCCTGATCACAGCACTGCCGCGCGCTGCACCGGGGGTCGAGATGGTGGCCTGGCAGGAGGGAGAGCTTCCCTCCTGCCGGTCACTGAAATATTGCGCCCCCAGTGCCCGTGCGCCCTAAGGCGGCCGCCTGTGCCGCCTTATGGACGCGCCGGCCCTGATTGTATCATATATCTTCTGATGTATTCAGGATAATTGCTGGATAGCCACACCAGACAAGTGGAAAAAGTTAATCAAAAAAACATGTGTTTCGTTTTCCAATTACCGGTATGCCAATGGCAAATGTTCTGTTTATCTGTCTCTGATCAAAGTGCTGTAGTCTGAAGAACAATTCACACAAGTAATTTGCAGTTTATTTTGTACAATGTAATGTAACACTTTGTATCCATCTGTGTTACTGTCTATATAACAGAAACATTTACAAATAATGCAAACTAGTCTTTATTTGACAGCATTAGATTCCAGTACAGTCCAGTACTAAGGGAAAAAAGCTGTTCTGGTACTCTCCTATACTGCATTTTTAAAAAAGAGTTCCTGGCACGCACTGTCCAGCACACCCAGAAAAAAGCTCTGTATTTTCCTATACTTGTTTTATTGAAGATCAAAAATCTTGTCCATCCATTTAGGGTTATTCACTACAGTGCGAATTATGGAAAAATGGAAACTGAATTGAATTTCAAATTCTAGGCCACAATAGCTGAACATAGTTCATAAACGGAATTTATATAGTTTGGCTATTTCGGCTTAAACATTCTACTTTAGTTTGAATTCATTATGATCTCCCCCCCAAAAATCCCACTTGAAGTGTGAATAGGCTTGTTTTTGTTATGTTCGTTTAATAATATTCAGAGTGCACACCTATTTCATTCTATTTGCTTTCATTCTTATTACCATGATAAAATCCTACGTGAAGTTGCATACGGGAAATTTGTGTATAAAGCAATTGTGTTTGCAGCAGCAAGTCAATGTATCCAATAACATGTATGTGTTGAAACCTAGCTCGCTAGTTCTTAAGTACTTCCAATAAGAAATTATTTAGGCTTGAGAGGGGAGAAAGTGTTGACAGTTTGTCACTCGAAAACACAGTCCAAAAAAACTAACCAAACAAACAAACAAAACAAAAACACAAATACATTACAAAATAAACAAACATTAGGTTGCATCTGCATCTCTAGACCAGTATGGCTATCCCAAATTATTCAGGTAATTCACAAGAAGGTAAAGTGGATGCAAAGTGAAATTTAAAGGAACATTGTAGACACCTTAACTGCATCATCTCATTTAAGTGGTTATAGTGTCTGGAATCCCCAAAGACACAAGAAAATAATGCCCGATGCTCACGTGTGTGAAATATGTCTAAGAACTCGGCGGTATGACATCCCATCTCCCCCTGCAGGATTAAAGTGACCTCGGCTGAACACATTGACATATTTAGGATGCCATATGCCCAGCTGTATCAGTGCACCTCCCTAATATATACTTATTGACCTTGCAGATAGGTATTATGGGTAGAGTGTTTAGGTAAATGCATATGAAATACATGTAAATGCTTACGCATGGAACACACATGCTTAATTATACCTAATATCTTTCTTTCTTTTTATAAATTCTTTAAAGACTGGAGAAAGGCATTGGCAAATTACATACAATCAAAATGTATATGACAGATCAGTGAATCCAGTCTATTTATCCATTGTTGGAGTAACACACATGAACAAAAAACAATGTCATACCTCAGACAAACCCTAAGGAATTTGTGTTTTAGAGACATTAATCCCAATATATGCCCAACTATTTCCCGGAGGATTGACCAAGAGATATCCTGAAATTGTAGCAAGTTATATAAAAGAAAAAGGGGGAAGGAGTAAAGAGAAGGGGGGGGGGAAACCAAGTGTGCTGCAGCAGTCTTATTGGTGGCATACTCTCCTATCTTATCTTTATGGGAGGTTCACAAATTCATGCCACGGAGACCATGTTTTATGGTAAGTGGCCAGAGTACCCCTGCCTGTTTCTGTGAGCTGGTAAGCCTATTATGTTGTATCCTTTAATTTGATACCAAAATCTGCTGACTTTAGGAGATATAGCAGTAGGACCCTCTATGTCCACATTCTCTCCAACAAAGATCGCTGGGAGTTTTGCACAATCAAAATAATTTGACTGGGGTCGTATACCATCGAAAGAAGATTTTATGCATTGGTTCCTGCAATGATAGAGTGATAGAAACAAAAGTTGTAGTTTCCCATACTGCCTCCCACAGTTTCAGAAGCTGGATGCCGTCTGGGGAGAACTGAGATGGGTGCTGGAGGCAACTTTGGGGTTAAACCGCATGAGAACAGTAAAAGTGTGCCGGGGGCCTCCTAGCACCACAACAACTTTATTAAGAGTAAGTTGTTTTGGTGTCTGGAGTGTCACTTTCAGGATGTACACTTCACCCGTAATGTTTGAACAGCATTTACTGGCAAATGAATGAAGAATTGTCCATAACAGTGTTTAGGTTTTCTGTTATATGCACTTAAAGCTGCTCTGTCATGTTTTTTTTTTCCATTCAGATTTTTTTTCCTTATGCCCCTTATATCTTAATGATTATACACTTTGCCAAATGCCTTTATTTCTACATTTTTATTCCTTGCACTGGATCTTAATACCTGGGCACCTCCGTTTTGTTCTATTCTTTTGAGTGATGGAATGTTTAAAGGGACACTATAGTCACCAAAACAACTTAAGCTTAATGAAGCAGTTTTTGTGTATAGATCATGTCTTTGAAGTCTTACTGCTCAATTATCTGCCATTCAGAAGTTAAATCAGTTTTGTTTCTGTTTATGCAGCCCTAGACCCACCTCCCCTGGCTGTAACTGACACAGCCTGAATGAAAAAAGAAATGGTTTAATTTTCAATCAGATGTTACTTACTTTAAAAGTTTTTTTCTCCTGCTCTACAACTGAATTTTAATCACACGCAGGAAGCTCCTGCAAGGTGTATCAAGCTATAAGCAGTGCAGATGTTAATAAATTATAAATCAAACAGTATTTGCACTAAAGCAAGTGTAAACATTAAATTACTTTTTAAGGAAGTGTTTGGGAATGCTGTGTAAGTCAACTGCAGGGAGGTGTGACTAAGGCTGCTGCATAAACAAAGTGATTTAACACCTAAATGGCAGATAATTGAGCAGTGAGACTGCAGGGACATGATTTGTACACCAAAACGGTTTCATTAAGCTAAAGCTGTTTTATTATAGTGTCCCTTTAAGCTCTGCACAATGACTACATTTGCCAAAGATCACAAAAGGATTAATTTAACAGTAAAACAAGATGTCTGCCCTACTTAGAGAATCAGCTCTCCTTAGGTCATTTGCAATGATCAGGGTCAGCTCCACTGGTCAGCACCAGGGGTGTCCTGAGGACAGCTGGAAAGATCACTTCCTAGACCTTAGTGAGTTGCCGCAGATACTAAGCATGAGCAGGCTGAAGCATACAAGGATTGAGAGGGAAGAAGGGTCTGACTTTGGAAGAGCTGCCGTGCTAATGCTCGGTTCCCGCAGGCATGAGGAATGCAGGGATCCTGCGTATCTGGGACATGAATCACAAAGCTAAATATGGGTTGCAATTCCTGCCAAGTGAACACCAATATAGTGTCTGCTTACAGTCTACAACACTGAGTGAAAAGAGGGAACAGAAGAAAGTCAAGGGGGAAATAACTTGGTATGAGGACATTCACCTCTCACATCCTACCATACAATTATGTGGGAATTGGTGTCTCTCAGAAGTCCAGAGAATATCATGTCACTTTTATTTTTGGAGCCTGCCAGTGTATTAAAGGGATACTATAGGTGCCAGAAATACAAAGCTGTAATCCTGGCAGTATAGCTCCCTCTGCCTTCTCCCTCCTTCACCACCCCCAGTCGGTGAATAAAGGGTTAAAACCCCTTTAATTACTTACCTGATCCCAGCGTCAAGGTCCCTTGGCACTGGGTCGTGGCTAAACCTCCTTCTCCATCAGTGGAGCGGGCATCAATGCGCATGCGTGGTATGCATTAGACCTCCCGATAGGAAAGCATAGAATTAATGCTTTCCTATGGGGAAAAATAATCTGATGCTGGATGTCCTCGTGCAGAGCGCGACCGGACCAAAGGTCCATTTGGATGCAGGAAGTGCCTCCAGTGCAGACTTAGTGCTGCAATGTAAACATTGTAGCACTAAGGGCAATATGGACACTGCACCCAGACCACTTCAATGAGCTGAAGTGGTCTGGGTGCCTATAGTGTCCATTTAACCCTTTTACTATAGAGCTATTTTTGAAACAAGGGATGTATAGCCCACATAAAAAGATAAACACAGTTATCTATGGCTGTTCAAGACTAATAAAAAAAATTAAAATATGTTAAATAAATATATTTCGTATATAGTATAATTTATATATATAGCATAATTTTTTTTCAAACTGTAATGCAAAACTAAACCAATGATGTGTACACTTGCTGGTAATGAAGAGATTAAAAAGATAGAAAATTAACAGGAAAATATGTTTAAAGAACATGCAAGATTAATAGAAATTTCAAAATGGTGGAGCACTATAGAGAATCACGCCAATTATACTTTATTCCAGTGGTCATCTCCAGCACTGCATATTTTTTAGATTTGAATTACATTTTCTGTATAATATTTGGAGATTGTACAAGCAACTGAGACCTTTATAAAAGTTGTAAATGTATAAACATGAGTGTTTTGAGATAATGATAGAATACAATTAATGCTTGAAAGGCACACCTTAATTGCATTTTATAGTCTGTTAGATGTCTGCCTTTGGTTTTAAACGAATGGGGCGGAGCTACGTCCCGACACGAGACGTCACAAGCCCGCGGAGCTCCATGCATGCAAGCTAAAAAAGCACAAATAACGACAGATCAAGGGGTACCCCAACCTGTAACAAAGCCCATAGGAGTGTACTACGAGATAGGGAGAAAGACTAAAAAGCCGATGTCTGATTATCCCAGGTTTACTTCCGATATCGGGGACTTACTGCGGAGGCGTGCCCATTATGGCGGCGGTTCTCAAGGACTTTTCAGATGACTCGGGTGACTCACTCCTCCACAGTATGGACGAACTGTGCTACAAAGGTCCATCAAAGCCTTCCCCCCTGAAAGAGGTCACCTCTCCTCCTGCCACAACAGCTATACTCACCAGTCTTCTGGCAGAGCTCAGGAAATCACTTTCTGCTGAAATATCACAGGTGAGGGAGGATGTTCAGGGGTTCACTGCACGCATGCCAACAGTGGAACACACCACAGACACCCATAGCATGCAGATAACAGAGCTGCAGTAACAGGTTCAAGACCTTACCTCAGCCCAAGTTCTCCTAACCCACTAACTGGCAGCGCAGGAAGATAGGAGAAGGTGGAAACACAACACCTCAAGATCAGGGGCATATCAGAAAGTATCACTATGGCAGAAATGCCACATCTCCTACACACTCTGTTTGCAGCTATACTACCCCCAAAACAAGCAAAGGGCATAACACTTGATGGCATGTCCCGAATGACCAAACCTAAGCTGAGCTCGGCAGCAGCTTTTAGCAATCTACTGGTAAAATTCCAGAATGGGCGAGAGAAAGCCACTTTCCTGAACGCAACTAGGTGGAAGACGCCGTACCAATTTTAAGAGAGATGGATCTTATTTTCTTCTCTGATCTTTCCAGCACTACCGTGCAGTGGAGGAAGACTCTCCGACCTCCCACATCAATCCTAACCGTAATGGCCTAAATTACAGATGGGGAGCTCCTCGCTACCTTACGATCCTGCACTTCTATCCTGTCTAAACTGGGCCTCGGCATCGACCCCCAGCCTTCCACCACCACTGTCTGGGATCCTGCTAAAGTCATTCCTTTCGTCCCAGCGACCCATAGCACAACAAGTGCAGCAAATACATGACTCTGTTTTGTAGTATTTCCCTTTCTTAACTGATAGGGTCTGCCCTATGTTTGTATATTATTTTCCCAGTTTGCAACTTTCTAGACGATCTACAGTCTCTGCTCTTTGCATGCATGCAGTTTCCATGATTAGTGGGATGACCCAAGTCGAGACCAGGATAACCCCGGTTATTCTAGCTCCGATTATTACCAACACCCCCCAGCTCCAATCATTTAATACACCACACTACCCAAACCTGTGGAGCTGTCTATCATACTATGTCTGACCAATTACACCTAATTGGATGTCATTATAATATACTCTTAATTGTATCCCCTTATATTTGTTTGCTATTGTGCTCATCTTTGTCTGACTGTGGAATTAATAAAGAATTAAAAAAAAAAAAGGCTGGCTGATGGAAAAAATAATAATTGATGGTTAGGGGACAGCCACTAAAGGCTGATTTTAATCACATATTGTGAAGGTGAAGCTCCCCAACACGCAAACTAAGGGACTCAAAAGGCACACAAAGCCAGACGTATTACCGGTCCTTTGAATGGCCAGACTTAACGTGAAAGGAAAAGAGATGAGAAGAGAAAGGTCAGACGAGCCAAGGTCAGGATAGGAGACGGAAGAACAAGCGAATAAGAAAGCCAAGGGTCAAGGATGCCAGAAATACGGATAACCAGAAAAACAAGCAAAAGTCAGATACCAAAAAAGACAAACTAACAGGACGCACTCTCGGGCTACAAGAGTCCACGACAGCGCAAGGTAGTGATGTAAGAGGAAGGTATAAATAGGGCTTAGTGAGAGCTGATAGGCTAGGGAACACAATAAGGCAGTATTTAAATAGAGAACCAGTTCACAGGTAAAAAATGGTACTTTCACTTTAAGAAGCCAGAGACAAGCCACACGCCCCCTAGCCAGCAATAGAGCGCGTGCGCGAGACGTCGGCTGGGGGTCCGCAGAGCACTGCAGGACAGGAGGAGGTATGACACATATCAAGTGAGAAGTGAACAACTGATATCAAGATATGACCCCTTTTTCTCCATTATAATAATACCATGGTGTACCTTTGCACCATGAATACTGTCCCTAGATGCTCTAGATCAGTAATTGATATCCGACTGTTCTCAAACAGCAACATTTCCGACATTCAACCAGTCATTAGCCAGAAAAGAATGATTGAGAAGTGTAATTCCACAGCAAAAGTTACCTGTTGGCCATCGCTACTCTAGAATACCATGTACAAGAATCATGTGAACTCATCCTCCCACACAAAGAGCTAAGACAGCTCTCAACTGAGTCACTTTGCAGACACCCTCAGAGACATGAATCACCCCCTCCCTAACTCAGAGGAACATTCTTGAATCCCACGCCTCCCACACACGGATCACTGCTGCATGGCTTTTAGTGCGCATTACTCAACATTAGCAATCTGGAACTCTTATCTTCTAATAATACAAAAACAATTTATCCACTAAACCCTGACTTTTACAAGAACGTTAGTTGAAAGAAGTCGTTTCGGGTCATTTTAATTCTAGTACCTGGCCCACACTTGCTGCTTACTAATAAATATTTACAAAAAATAGTATTTGAAACAAATTACTGCATTAAGCTGTCTTTAAGAAACAGCTCCATAATCACTGCTTGCTGCAGGGGTAAAGGAGCTCAGAGCGTCGTGGTGTCGTGCCGTCCCACCATAGCACACAGTTTTAGCACAGTTTGACACAAACCTGGGTCCTGCTGAGCACTCTCCTTCAATGAACGAGTTCTTATCTTGCACAGATTGACAGCTGGCTTCTCCAGCTCAAGAAACTCAGAAGAAATGCGGGCAGCCATCAGAATCCAAATAAGTCAAACTGTGCTAAAAATGTTTGGTTATGGTGAGATTGCACCAGGGAACACCTGCCATCATAACCTCTACATTGGGCATTAGTGGTTATGGTGCTTGGAATATTCCTTTAACTGATCATGATAACGGATGTTGATGGAGATGTTAAAGGAACCCAGACCACTACCGCTCATTGAAGTGGTCTGGGTGCATATTCCCAGGTTTCTTAACCCTGCAATAGTAATTATCTACCAGACAGCCACTAGAGGGACTTACGGGTCGTTGAGCGCGACTTTTGGTTGCCTGATACTGAATGTGCATGCGCGGCAATGGAGGAGAGACATCTGTGCTGGACTCCGGTATGTGACAAAAGGGCTTTTAAACCCATTCTGCACCACAGAGGGGGTAAGGAGGGAGGCACAATAGGGAGCTATAGTGCCAGGAAAAAAAACTTTTTTTCCTGGCACTATAGTTTCCCTTTAAGTAATACTCCTTCGCAGCTCACTTTGTCGTCAGGAATGGACCAGCAAATTACATTGCAAAAATAAAAATAAATACCTATTTAAAAAATAGCTCAGCACCCTTGCTAAATCAGGTGCTGGTGGGAAGGAATACATAATGTGATGGGCCGCCAAGCCTCCTCCCCCTCGGCCATGTGTGGTGGTATGTTAATAAAATGAGCCTGGATAGAGCATGTGTTAGACCTGATTTATTACCTGCAACCCATGGCCAGTGGAAAAGAGCATATCCCCTACAGGTCAGTTTTGTGGTCACTAGTCTCCGGGTGCTGCTCTCTGGCATTTGTTAAACCAGTTGCACAACTTTTTAGTTTTCCACAAAACACTGTTTAGTTAAAAATTGTAGTGTGTTGAATTTAAGGAAGTATTCTTGTTAATAAAAGAAGGCAATCAATTTTCAAACTGAGCAGGTTTGTATAACTTCTCTAATAAAACATTCTGCATTGCATCTGCAGTGCTCTATAACTTCCAACTCAAATCCACCGACATATTAAATTCATTCTGCACGCTTTGCAACCCATTCTCTAATTCAATAAAGGAGGGACACATACTAATATGGGGTTTTTATTTGTTTTGTAGTTTAGGAGATACTTCTCCTGAATTAAGCATGCAGAGTTATTTTAACCAGGTTTTATTTTCTGATTAAACGATTTGGACTAATCAAAATTTCAAGATATACTATATTGAACTATGATATAGCTTAGTGAACTACGGCCTGTGAGGATATTTATGGGGTGATAAATATTAAAAAATAATATTTTCATAAAAATTAATTTAATATTTATTTTTTTTGTAGTGCATAGATATAACACAAACAGGCGAGAGGTACCCCAAAGGCAGTCCTCTAGCTTTTCCCACGCGAGACAAGCAGGGCACAAGATAAACATGTACAATTTTGTTTTTTAAACAGGTTGAAGCATATGAATACCGCATTGAATTAAAATTATGGTCTAAGAGTATAAGCAGTTGTAGCATTGTAGTTTCGTCTGTACAAATACACTGATACTATATTCATGTTTGGTCAGAGCTTGAGTTAGGTTAGTTTCTCACGTTTAATACAGGTCCATACTACGCTTTGGGGACACGGATCTCACTATATATATATATGCATTCAAAATGCCATAACGTCAAGTCAGCAGGCTTATTTATTAATGCTTAGTTTACCCTCAGCTTGTGTGTAGTTTTGACCCACCTGCAGCCTCGCATACCATAGGGGTTAGCCAATTTACAGAGGGAGGGTTGTATGTCCGGGGCCTAGCGTGATACTCATGGATATGCAACATAAAGCAGGTATAAGAGTGAGTGTTCATTTAAGAGATACTGCTGAAGATCTTGTCTAGGCCCAGTCCGTGAGGATGGTAGGTTGTACTTTGCTGTCTGTTCCTCTTGGACCGGACAGGTGGTGATCTGGTGAAGGAGGCTGAGTGCAGGTTGTGTAGCTCGGCTGAGGCATCTGGGTCTGACTGCTTCCCTCTTCATGGGCTGTTTTGTGCAGGTGGTAGCGGTTGCTTGCTTCCCCGCTTTGTTCCCGCTCTCTTCGTAGTCACCACAGCTGATCTCTATGTAGTCAGCTGGAACGGCCCTGGAGTAGGTCGGGTGGCGCTGGATGGTCTCGGCTCCATTATGCTGGCGGGTCACGCACATGGCTTGCGTGCGGAGGGCATTTTGAGGAGTGCTGCTTGGTAAGTATGCCATGGCGTGTTGGGGCTCTCAGGCTTAATTTGGCGCATACCTGGGCATGCGTGTAGACCGGGATGACCGGGAGGGACGGGGCGCCATCCGCCGGCCGGAGACCCGGGTGAGCGGCCATCTCTTCCTGGCTCAAGCTCCCTCGTGCTTCGGGCCTCCGTCGGTACCGGGTGTGATCTTAGGAGGTATCACTGCGTACCCCAACGGCAGGGGATCAATTTGGTCACCGGAGTGTGTCGCTGGGAGGATTTGTTTTGAATATTTTTATTGTTTTCGCAATATAAGTGCATATTGCGAACTGGTTCGTAATAAAGCCAGAGGTTGCCCACGCAGGGGCTTAAGCAGTAAGTTATAGCATTCATTAAGGTGAACGGTCGCCTACGTAGAGGCTTAAATGTTAGCACATAGGAATAAATGCAGATTATCACCTGCGCAGAGGCGTAATGATCAGAACATATAGGCGTACTTGAACTTTGCTGGAATACATTTCTAAGCATTACAGCATAAAAGGTAACAACATCCTATAATGCGCCAATCTGAAGTAAACTGTAGCTGATCATGCAATACATGTAATGAAGTATATAGGCAAACTAATGCAGTGTTAAAAGAAATGACCATCCTATAATACAAATGCTGAAGTATGCCTTAGCTATTGATGCGATACTGGTAGAGGGATGCATAAACAAACAAATTATATTACGTGTACATGGGTTCCCATATTATCGAGAAATAAACTAGGGTGCCTATATGTGAGCCTGTTCCTTGAGCGTCTTCTCAGAATGTCAGAGTTAACACATGATATATGTGACTAGATGAGCGCGGTCATTTCTGTGTTAAGATGGCGTGTTGGGGCTCTCAGGCTTAATTTGGCGCATACCTGGGCATGCGTGTAGACCGGGATGACCGGGGGGGACGGGGCGCCATCCGCCGGCCGGAGACCCGGGTGAGCGGCCATCTCTTCCTGGCTCAAGCTCCCTCGTGCTTCGGGCCTCCGTCGGTACCGGGTGTGATCTTAGGAGGTATCACTGCGTACCCCAACGGCAGGGGATCAATTTGGTCACCGGAGTGTGATGCATATTAATATACATCGTATAATACAACATTCTGGCTATTCAAGTAGGCAATAATGAATGGCGTCAAGCTTTTGCCCGTGGGGGCACTACAACATAACATATCCATTCTGAAGCTGATGTGTATAAGTCACCAAAGTAAGTGTCGACAAAGCAGTTACATAAGAAGCATATTCGTTTGTGAACTTGGGTATATTCAACACTGAGTGTAGCCATCTGGCGCGGACAGTAACTGAATGCCCAGTGAATGAAAGGGAGCATTTAGAAAATAAAAATTATTCCTGACTGGCAGTCCGAGGGAGGCCCCGCATGTCTCCGCTGCAGCACAGTCCCAGGGATGCCGAGCCTCCTTCCGTCACCTCTGCAGTGCCTCCAGCCCACCGGCCGGGTCCATCGCGGCGCCGTGGGCCGAAACCGTCCACCAGACCCCACCACAAAAGTCCGCGGGCGGCCAGTCCCTTGCACCTCCCCAGCGCCCCGCTGTTCCCTCTGCAGCGCGCACTCCCATGTCTCTCCCGGTGCCGGCCTCACTCTTGGGGCCGGTGCGCGGCCTCCACAGCCACCGGTCCGCCGGCAGGGTAGCGCACTCCTGCTCCACAGGGCTCACAGCAGCGGGGACATGGCTCTCCAGGGACCCCCATACCTAGAGGCCAGGGTACTCACTACTCCTGTGGGTACGGGAGCACCACAGAGGCTCCATCTGGTGCTCCACCTTGCCCGAGTCTGCGCGAGCCGTCCATGCCAGGCCCCGATGCTGTATGCGCTGCTCAGTTTCTTCTTCTGGGCTTCCACAGGCTCGTTTCAATCTCGCCCTGGGTGCTTCCTCTTGAACTTTGTACCCTCTCCACCGTGTCAGCCTCCACAGTCTCTGTGGTCTGTTATTCTGGCAGGCCTCTTCCTGACTGCCCTTGCCAGTGCAGGGGACCAGCGTGGTGCTCGAGCGGAGATGTCCGCCTCGGCATGTGCCGTCCCCATGAGGCCGGGTTCACCCCCCACCAGCCGGGGGGGGGGGGCAGGCCCCCGAGCCGGCGTGGTCCCCCAAGGGGATAGGTGACTCTATGATGCGTTGTTCATCCAAGCGGATCACCAGTCTCTGAGTCCTGCTCTAGCACCGTCTGAAGTCAGGCTTATGCTAACAGGTAGGCCGGATTTATTTGTGTTAGTGTTCCCGGCGTGCTGTCGGCCCTTTGCAGGTGTCTTTTTAATGCTGGGGTGCTTCTCTCTTGCAGCATGCCCAGATGTCCGATGTTAGAGTGAGTTATATTAGGTTTTGTAGCCTTTGTTTGGGGCTCGTGCTCAGAGCCATGCTTGTCTGCTTCCAGTCGGCCCGGCGGCCCAGCCCCGCCCCCTCGCTGGGAGGATTTGGCCCCCAGTTATCGCCGATTTTCGGCCCTGAAGCGGGAGCTCAGACGAAGCATGTCTGATCCCTTCGGCGGCCCCGCCCCCAATTTAATATTTTTTTATTATAGCAAAATTTGACATATTAGCAATGTTCCCCTTATTATTGAGTTAAAGCTGAGAATCACCCACTATTTTAATTCTCATGGATCCTGAAGTACGTTTATTAGAGGATTTATATTTCACACATTAATCACAAACTAATTATAAAAATATAATTTATTGTGACAATAATAATAATAAAAATAATAATATGTAACAAGTGTGATAACAATCAGTGAATTATTAACTATAAAATAATTATATGAAATGGCAATGTTTTGTTTTTTTTACACAATACAAACAGTTCACTTAGCAACAAATGTATAAATGCAGATTTCAGCAGGATTCATTACAGAGCAATTCAGCTTGGTCAGTTAGACATTCCTTAACACAAGACAGATACGGCATCTCACAAAGTTCAGTATTCTAATTTTGGCAAATTACCAGTGAATATATTGTTTAATTATTCCACCTGCAGGAATGGAGTTTTTATAACCATATATTCCTTAATTAATTATGATTTCTAAGTTAGAAACCTGACATCTGTGAAACCTTCGCCCAGATATATTCGGCTTTATTTAAAAGTTAGTTAATTTAATTTAAATAAAATAAAATAAAAACCAGCATAATTACCAGTTCTTTTGTAGAATTTCTATCAGGCTTGGAGATATGTCCCAGGAATTGTGAATGCAAGTATGAAGGAGAATTGTGGGAGATGGGAAAGTTTCAGAGTTCGCAATTTTGAAGAATTTCAAAGTTAAGTGTTAAGTTGGGAAAGATACAGAAAGTCAGATGAGAGCTGTTAGATCTTAGACGTTAGAGAGTGTGTTTCTCTCCTTTGTCCTTAATTTTTAAAGGAGGATTTATCTATACATCACTAGTTGACAGTGACCAATAGAGTAAGGTGGGCGTGTCTTACAAACTATCATCTGGATTTTGGTAAGTAGATGGCACAATTACATCACAGAAAATTCTTGTCAAGGTGTCCATTTACTATTTTGTATAATGGGTTAACTGAATTTCATGATGCGTTTGACTTCATCTGGGCTATAATTATGATACCTATTCGTCAAAAATCTGTCAATCTTCAAAGGCTTTTCTTTTGTTTTTCCAGACTTACTGTCTGGTTTTGGTGTCATAAAATTAGAATTTTGACACATGTAGCCTTGATTTCACCCTTCCTTACAATTGAACTTTGTATCAGATCCTTAATATTTAAAAAGTATATTAATTACTGTAGCGTTATCTGTCATCGATAATCCTGTGTCTGGTTTTCTTGTGCGAAACTGTGTGTAGCACTTACTAATGTTACATATGTGATTTATACATGTCTATTACACATATTCCACTAACGTTAGTAAATAATATGTAAAAAAAATGTCTTATCTCTGCCAATGTTTACATTAGACGCATTCCTCTGCTCAATGCGGAATAGAGTATATATAAAAAAAAATGTGTGTCTTTTTGTATTGTGTTAATTTTGACTTACAGTATACATTTTTAATTTCTATCTTAACACAAAATGTCTGCCAGTGTAAATATACTGACAGGCCTTGCTATATCTCCAGCCAACACAGTAGAATTAAGGAAGGTTCTAAAAAAAACCCTTGCATAATTGGGTAGGGCATGTACTTTAAGAAAGGAATTTGTGACCCATATTCATAGTGGTTTTAACAAATTGAATCTTACTGAACAGTTTAATTGCTCACTATTTTCTTATAAGCTGATTAATATTCTCAGGTGGAAGAGAACTGTAGAATATATGTTACATCCTGGCTTCACGTTGTCAGTACAGGGAGATGAGGGAGCTGTGCAGTCAAAGCACAGAACACAGAACAGCTTTCTTGCTACTTGCTCGGAAGTCTGATTAATAAATTGGCAGAACAGGCATATGTTGTGTGGCTCTACCTCCAGTAGGCTGGTGTCTGCTCTTGTGTGAGGGGTTACTCTGCTGCTTGTGAGTCTGGAGAACCCACCTTCTCCACCACTTGGTTAACACACACATGCCCCTAATCTTCCTTAAAAACTGTGGGTAGGAAAGAATTGGCTTATAGATCTGGGACAGTACACAAAAGAAAAGCTTTATACAGCACTACGGAATTTTGCTGGCGCTATATAAATAATAAAATAATAATAATAGAACATATAATGGATCTTTTTAATTCATTATTTATTTTAGTCAAAACAGACTGTAGGGTATAATGACCTGTAAAGACATTCAAATGTTGTATACTTTTTTTCAGTTATGCATTTATTCAGTTATGTACCTAACTCTTGACATGTATGTCAGTTGCGTTAGCATTGTGCAGGGATCCTCAAACTCCGTCCCCCCAGATGTTGCTGAACTACAACTCCCATGATTCTTTGAATTACATAGATAGCCAGAGAATCATGGGAGTTGTTATTCAGCAACATCTGGGGGGGGGGGGGCAGAGTTTGAGGACCCCAGGCATATTGCATGACTTGACCAAATTTAAAGAACCACTCCACTCTTCCAACCCATCCCCCAAAAACCCTCACAGTTTATTAGATATAACCCCAATGAATACATACATGTATATTTTTATGCATGTATTTGAGGATATAGCCTAAAATAGATGACAAAAGCTGCAGTTCTTATGACTGCAGCCTTTGTAAGACCCTCCTCCTTTTTCCCAGAAGAGACTTTCAGTCGCTTCACAGGAAAATAGTCAATTAGAGTCTTCTCATTGAGAAGCCTCTGACTTGGTCCCCACGTGCACGCGCGCACGAATGGCGACTCGTGCACACTCACGCACCGCTTGAGCACCTCTGAAGCAGGTCTGAGGTCTGTTAGGGAGGCAGGGGAAGGCAGGCACGCTCAGGGGAGCTAATAATGTGATTAGAAAACCCTTAATGTCTATCCCAAGATAAGCGCCACATGTGTTATAGTATGAGATTGTTTGAAAAGATTAAAATGTAAGAAGAAGAGCTTTGGTTTTCACATTTGCAGCTTTGCTTTGCTGCATAAATCAAACTGTGTAGACACTGTTGCTACAAAAAATAGTTCTAAAAATGGTAATGTATGCCTAGAATGTATAGCTGGGGCATGCTCCAAAACCAATGACCCATTATACACTAAAACAACTGAGATATCAAGATATTGTTGATATATAGTGAAAACACGTTTCAGTCTTAACGACAGGAAACAATCAGTGCAACTCTCTACGATTTGCTTGGCATTTAGCATTTACCGTATATACTCTAGTATAAGCCGAGTTTTTCGGCACATTTTTTGTGCTGAAAACCCCCCACTCGGCTTATACTCGAGTCAATGTCTGTATTGTGGCAATTTAAATTGCCACAATACAGACCAGGACCGCCGGGCTCATTACAAGCCCGGTGGTCCTGTTGGGGGCTGGCAGAGAGCTGTTACTTACCTTCCTGCAGCTCCTGTCAGCTCCCTTCTCCTCCGTGCAGCTCCTCTGTCAGCTACGTTCTGCTTACAATGTAAGTGTAAGCAGAACGGAGCTGACAGAGGAGCTACACGGTCGGAGAAGGGAGCTGACAGGAGCTGCAGGAAGGTAAGTAACAGCTCTCTGTCAGCCCCCCCACTGAACAGCCAACAGCCATTATTTTTTAAAAAAAAATTTTTGTCCACCCTCCCTGGCCAGGCAACAAGCAGGGAGGGGGGACAAAAAACCATTTAAAAAAAAATAATGCAAATATTAAAATAATAATAATATAATAATAAAATATTATTATTAAAATAATATAATATTAAAATAAAAATGCCCTCCCCTCACCCAGTTTACACACACTGCACAAACACACACACTGCATTATATACGCACTGCATTCATTATATACACACACAACACACACACTGCATTCATTATATATACACACACAAACACACACTCCGCATTCATTATATACACACACAACACACAAACACACACTCTGCATTCATTATATACACACACACAACACACAAACACACATTCTGCATTCATTATATACACACACTGTAAATAAATATTCAATTAATGTAATTTTATTGGGATCTACCGGTAATTTTATTTAGAAATTTACCAGTAGCTGCTGCATTTCCCACCCTAGGCTTATACTCGAGTCAATAAGTTTTCCCAGTTTTTTGTGGTAAAATTAGGGGCCTCGGCTTATATTCGGGTCGGCTTATACTCGAGTATATACGGTACTTTTGTTATTCATGTTAACAGCATTTTATTCTTATATGTGAATAAGAATCCTACACCTTTTTTATTGTAAATCACATACAGATACAATACTGTTGAGAGTAATGACATAGGTATTCTGGCAAAAAATAAGATGTTGGTAAATTTGGAAAAATACAAAATTATGAATTAGAATGTTTCTGTCTGTACAGTCCATATACCTGCTGGTTAATCTTGGCACTGCTCACAATACTTAGCCATTTTTTCTTTTTGGGATGACTGAGCATCATGGGAGAACTAAATTCACAAACTTTGCCATGCAAAACTATGTATCACTGGTCTAAGATTTGCATTCAAAATAAATGTTTACATCAAAGCACAGGTTATGGATTTCGTGTAAGACCTTACAAAAACTTTTCTTTGTATTATCTATGAAATTTTTCACACACACCTGTGTCATTACTTCTGTGAGGTAGGATAAACATTATGCCTTCAGTACCCTGTATTAAAGAGATGCTCACAGCACCAAAACCACTAATCTTAACATAGAGTCCTTTATGTTTGAGAAAGTAATACATTGCCATTTCAGTGTTTACGTTCTGCCATGGACTTGCCTATAGAGGTTATTTATTAAAGTGAGAATTCAAAGTGAATTGAAAATGAATCTCAAATGTAAGGTCAGAGTAGTTTATATGACTTAGACAATTTTTCCAGCTCAGCTATTTTGAGCTTAAAGGAACAAAGCTGTATTCCAAACACTCTCCCCTCGAAGGATTACATACATTTTAAACACACACCTTATTCCAGGGCCGTCTCCGCTATCCTCGCGAGAGGGAACCTAATATGCATGTGCGCCATGCGTCAATGCTTTCTTAAGGGGGTTTAGAAGACGCCACATGCAAAGCGTAAGGACATCCAGTGTTGTTTCATGGAGTTAAACTCTGTGAAACAGTAGGTTCCAACACTGCATTATAGGTACATTTAATATTTTTTTGTATATAGTTACATTTAAGTTTTTTTTTTTGTATGTATGTATGTGTGTGTGTATATATATATTGTAGATTATGTTAGTCCCATAAAAAAGGTATCATTGCATACTGCAATACTCGTGTATTTTGGCATTATATATATATAGATAGATACACATACACTCTTTACACTTCCCTAATATTGGCCTTTTGTTTTTGCACGGCAGAGGTTTTCAGATTTCTATGAAATGTCTTACTTTAAGATATGTGGTTGATACATGCATTGGACATGCATTGCTCACTTTGTAATCACATTCCCATGCCTACCTCACAGGTCTATGTGCACTGCTTAATGCAGGCGTTCCGGTGGACTGCTTGTTTTTATATGTTTTTATATGTTTAGAACAACACAAAGACCCATTAAGGCATGGAATGCTAGAAACTGTCCAACTCAGAAAGACAAAATGTCCAATAACAGCGTTCTTCTAAATAGTTAATGTATAAAAGATATACTTTTAGATGAGTGCATTTACTATATAAAGCTGGAGAGGTTTTTCCTATTATGATGGGATAATTTCAACTTCTCCCTCTGTATAGTGGTGCAAGAGACAGCAATACCCTAACATGCACCGACTGCAAAAAGGTCATGTGATAGCATACTTGGGTTCAATATAGTGTAAGCCCGAATGTTTGCAATTTAAAAGCCTTTTCCATTATTTGAGAGAAGTAAATACAGGCATTCCTTTGAGGAAAGGCCACTTTAGGTATTTGGATAACTTAACAAATATTTGAGCTTATGGTAAAGTGAAGAGTCTTGCTTTAAGGAGCACTCTAAGCATTATAAGCCCAACAGCTCATTGCGGTGGTTATGGTGTTATGAGTCTATAGTTGCTATCCCTTGGTTTTCTTTCAAAGCATTATAGATCTGTTTGACCAAAGGAGGGATCCCAACCAACATCCTGCCCCCTTGAATTGAAATGTCATTCCTTATAAAGTGAGTGTCCATCTTGGAAATGCTGACAGCACTGCAATTTGGTAGGCTTGACTTTTAAGACTTCTACATGACAGTGTAGCTCCAGAGAGCGTGGGCTGTGGGTGCTGGGGGAATCCCTGATTTTGTTTTTTTTGTCAAGCAGCTCATAAATTATTTAGAAGAAAACCAAAGGATGCTGTCCATAGACTCATAGCACCATGATCACTACAAAAAACTGTTGTAGCTATGGTGCTTAAAATGTACTAGTAATGTGCTTAGCCTAAGCTGCACAAGTTTCATAAAACAACTGTAGAGAAAACTGGCATAGATTCCAAATTCCATTTATTGGAAAGGACTACTAGACGCAAAAAGAATTCTATGGAATGGATACGTTCACTGAATGTATGAAAAACCATGACAAACAAATGCAAATCCATAAAAACAGCTGTAAATGCTTTAAAAGTAAGTAAAAGTGTTTGTGGTAGTACTGCTTATACAGTGACTTTCTTTCATTCATTTCAATAAGGATGCAGTTACCATGAGTACAATGCGAGCTAGATGCATGTATGTGCAGTGCTTCTATCATTTATTTAAGTAGGAGAGCACTAATTTGCTGAGATAATTCCATTAGTTCTAGATTTTAGAATAAATTTGGAGAGGGATTGTCAAGTGTTTTCTAATTTTTTTAATGCATTTTTGATTATTTTTTCAAATATATAATGCATTAAAAGGGTTGTTAAATCCATTAATACGTTTTGTGAAATTACATCTTTGTAATTTATAAATGTCAGAAGAAGGAGAAAAGTAGTGGGTGGTGTTACAGAATGCATGTCCAAGTCTCTGAAGCGTGTGGGCGAAAGTCAGATTGTGTCTGGGGTCAAAATGTAAAAGAGACTAGGACAATAATTCTGTTAAAAGTTCTGCTTTGGGGGGGCGGGGCCGGGCGGCCATGCTAGCAGGCTGCAAGTCACTATGGCTCCTGAGGAATCCAGCTAATAATGTTGACAAAACCCACCTTACTCAACTTGGAATGCCCTGGAAGTTTGTGGTATATGCTCCTGGAGTGTCCCAGTGTAGCTAGAGCACCTGACACCGGGTGGTTCTGGGTCCTGGTGAGATGCTCCAGGGCTGGTGGACTGAGGCCTACACGGGAGGGGAGTGGAGCGGACGGCCGCTGCCCCGCTCTCCGCCCCGGGTAATGAGAATCGCAATGCGAATGGCGCCCTCCCGGCTCCGTTCACCCCCCCTTTGGACCGGCGGGGGTTATCCCGGTCCCCACCAGGCAAACAAACATCTTGGCGGCAAGCCTGGGCGACCCAGCGCCGACAGTTTAAGGCTACCATGCGGCCCTCACAAAATGGCCGACAGCGACGCGACTAACTCACTTCCTACCACCAAACCCACAGACCAACATTGGAGGAGAGCCCGGAGAGGTCCTTACTACACACCAACTCCAGCATATCGCTACCTGCACCTGGACACTATGGGCTGCAAAGCACCGCACCCGTACTCACCTACTGACCGGGTACTGTGGACACAGCGATCTGAGACTGCAGAATACGGTTGGACCCCTGGGTACTCCGCGAGGGTCACCCCCAAGCCTGGGAACAGGATGCCTCTCAACCAACGACGATCCCAGCTCCTCAGGACGACCCCAGCTCCTCAGGACGAAAGGCAGCCAAGGAGTGCACCGCGGAACTCACTGACAGCCTTAAAAAATAACTCCCTGGCGATACTTGCCGATACATGGACATCTCTGTAATTATAATCACAGCTCATGTCACAGTAACTGTCGGTTTGGGCATCCTGGGTAACGCAGATGATAACTCAGTATGCCAAAATCAACCTGGTGGCATTTTATTTCAATACCTATCTTAACTAAGCTAGCACTTCATAAAAGCGTCTGTTTATACTCTTGTTATGACTATAATATAAACCACACATGCAGACTCAGGTTTCAAGCAAACTCCTATTATATTGCTTAGAAGAGGTAGTGAAACACTGAATGAATATGTTAAAAAAAAAGTTCTGCTTTGTCCATTCATTGTCCATTCCTGCAAAGAGCATCACACGTAGAACATCAAAGTCTCAATCATACTTACAAAAGAATATACTATATTGTAACAAGTATAGTATGTTAGAAGGGTTGTAACAAACCAAGTGAATGTGAATATCGAAAGCCCGGCAAGCATCTTTGTATACTTGTCTCCCTGTAGTACATTATGGACGTTAAAAATCCTGCACTTTTTACTCATATTTGTACTTGTTTTTAAAAGAAACATTTTTATTTATTTATTTGTACTTGTTACTAAAGTTGTGGACCCAAATAACTAGTATATTTTTCTTTCCCATCAATGTGGTGTGTTCTAAAATTAGGTGTGTCATAATTCACAATGCATAAAACAAATTACTCCACAAGTATGTTACAAGGCAATGGCTCAATTTGTGGGAGAGCTTGCAAATCTCATTGACGTTCGACCAATGTGCCCATTATCCTGCCCATGGTAATGGTAAAGGACTTTTCAGCTGTGTATCATTCAGGCCAAACATAGCTGTGAAAGTGTCTGTAAAGCTTACTGAAATCCACTGTTTACAGGTGCACATTGTTTATTCCAGTACAGAGTCTCACTTTTCATCACCGCTTTTTTTCCCTCTTAACCCCATTTGAGTTAGTCCCGAAATCGGATTATCTGGAACCTAGGGCCTTTACAATTTAACTTAGGAAAGTGAACAATGTTGGCTCTAGCAGTGGTAAATTCCCTGCATTAGGAATTCAAAATCCAGATTTTGAATCCCAGTTGGACTACTTTACCAGTAAGTGTCCTTAGGCAAGAAACAGAGCCATATATATCTGTCTATCTCAAACCCTCTGTCATGGTAAATACACCCAGCAGAAGAAACAGATCTGGACATATTGCCGGACCTTAGATTGTACAAGCTAAGGTCAGGATAACAGATATGAGGGCAACTGGAGGTTCTACACGATCAGATTTACAGAATAGAGGAAAAATGGACAAGTTGTCAGGGATACAGAGGTAGTCAGAATTGATCAAAGCAGGAAATACACAGAAGTGAATAAGGAATGCACTATTCAGGAACTAAAACAGAAACCACAATAGGGCCCAGAACTAGGGGCAAAAGAAGCTTAAGTAGGATTAGCAAGGTTTTGATTGGCCCACGTCACCCTATGACCCCTCAAAAAAGCAAGGTTGCCTTGGTGACGCGGCCAATCGTGGACTGAAAGTGTCATTGCGCAAGTTGAGTGTATTTAAGCATTCATCCCCAGAGCATGCAGTGTTCCTATTGCTGTAAGGAAGCAGGCTGCGCGTCAGATCTGCATGATTGATGGGAGCAGCCCCTGCGGAGTTCCGTACCAGCAGCGCCCTCATAGATTGCAAACTCGTTTCAGCCCGGCTTTTTTCACCTCTAATATTTCTTTTTCATTGTAAAGCACTGTAATACTTCATTGTAATAACTGATGCAATATTCACCTTCATCGCCTATAGGTTATAAGAAAAGACCAGAATTGCAGTTTTGCTTTGACTAATTTTCAGATTGACACTTATCAAAACATGCGTCCTATCGGGCAGCAATAAATTTAAAGCAAGCAGTATATATATATTTAACAAAGTTAATTGTTAAAGGAGATATCTAGCTGCTTCACTCCATATATATAGAAGTTGCAATATTTTCCCTTTCATTTGCACACAGTCCTGAAAGCAGACAGAGAAAATGCAGAAGCATGGATTTCGTCAGCATTGATATGGTAGATCATAGAAAGCTGGGATTATTTTGTACGTGGATTTTGGTTATACTAACATACAACCCTTCTATGTATATTTTCCATTTGTCATCTGTTTAAACAGCACGACTGGCTTGATGTGTATGTATTGCAACAACAAAGAGCATATGAGAACTCTGAGAAAAGTAAAAAGCTCAGAGAAACCTTAATAGCTTGACCTTCCATCAGTGCTCACTCAGGTCTCGAAAAATTTTTACTCACTTGTGCCATTACAGAAAGAACCTACACTATTTGCATATCAGACTTATCCCGTCCATAAGGGCAGTCCAGAACTGAAATGCCAGCAAGCTTCTTCTGCAGGAGAGACACAACAACCCCGGATAACCGTTTCAGCCTTCTTTGGGCCTCGTCAGCAAGGTGTAGCTGATAGAAATCAGTGTATAGTGAGCATGGAATGTAGATCTGGATTGCCCTAATGGCACAAGTAACCAAAGACATTTTTGAGACCTGAGTGGGGACTAGCCCAATGGCAAACTATTGAGGTCTCTGTGAGCTTTTGCTGTTCTCAGTGTTCTCATATTGTCTGTTTTTGTTTTAATGTATGTGTATCCTATTAAACGTTGATACAGTAGCACTATGTAGAATTCGAGCCCTCAGGGAGACGGTGAATTTTCAAGAACCCCTGGTAATTTATACAATGTCAATCTGAATACATTCAGGGATATAACACTGAGGGACTATTTCATAAGAGCAATACAGACATAACAAATTAGTAAATTCTCAGCAGACTGAAGGTGATATATTTTTGTATCTGTAAACATGTATATACTTGTGTGCAAAGATAAATAAAAATATGTGAAACAGTCTAAATGTAAAGGCAGGACAAACCAGGAGGAGTGAGGGAAAGATCCCAGTGCTGATAAGGCTAAATCATGTAATAATACAGAGCATCTACAGTGCTATTCACTTAAGACTCTATTGGAATTCAAAGTAAATTTTAAATTCATGGTTAATGTGGCCAAACTAAAAGCATAGCTGACTTGGAGAATTTTTCCAGTTCGGCTATTTTGGCATTAAAGGGCTACTCCAAGCACCATGACCGTTTCACTATGAAATGCTGCACACACAAAGTTTAACCCCTCTGCGGCTATAGGTGATACTCTACATCTGGTAGTGTTATTGGTGCATCCTTAGCCACCAATGTCGATAGGCTGGCTAATGTGAATTCTGTGCAAATTGAGCATCTGTTGTCAGGACACACAGCATGCTGGCAAAAGACAGTCAATGGCAGTATGTCGCCCTCTATGCCACGCTTGTCCTCCCTCTGCCTATCCTGCCTGATATCCCTCCTTCAAGAGGGGGTGGCATCAATGTTGGAGGACTGGGCTGAGGGCGCATCTGTGCTAGAAAGGAAGGTGAGTTTAAGCTATTTTCTTTTTTTTACTTTTTATTTTTTTGGAGTGAGTTATGCTAACTGAAAACAATGTGTCTTAAAGCACTCCTTTGTTTTTTGTTTGTTGGAGCATCCCTTTAAAGTTCACGCTGAATTCTCTTTGTAATCCCGACAATTTGAGTAACTCTGCAAGTATATAAATGGACTGGAAAAAAAAACGAAAAAAAAAAACTTGCTGGCTATTTTTGAGCTAGATTTCTTTTTTAGCCTAATATAGAATTGCCAGTGGATATGTTTAATCACAGACTTGAATGAGCTATGTTTGAGACTTTTAATAACTTTAGCTACAAATGAAGACGGTCTTTAGGATCCAGACGTTCAGTCTGATTCACTCTTTGAATGTTTATGTTTAACCCCATCTGTTTGGCAAAAGTTATAAATATCTGTGCATTGTTTTCAGATAGGTTTCAGATTAAATTTCTTAAGACACAGCAACACCTAAAGCTTTATAAGCTCCACAAGCATTCTACACAATGATAATAGGGCTGAATAATTTAGTCTTTTTACTGACTTTTCAGGACATACTTGAAAACGAGAGAAATCTCAATGTATACATCCTAGTAAAATATTTTATAAATACATAAATAAATAAAATTAATTATCAGTTCAGGCTGGAACCTAGGCCCGTACTCATTCTATTTGTTAATAGCAAAAAAAATTATATCGACTTAAGTTGAATTTTAAAAAAAGCCATCTTACAAAATCTTGAACTAACTGATTTGCATTCTTATTATCTGTTAGATAAAGTCCTGCAGTGCAGTGGGCAATCAGCATTAAAGAGTCACTATAGTCACCAGAACAACTACAGCTAAATTAAGTAGTTCAGATGGCTATATCGGGTGCCTGCAGACATTTTAATGTAAACACTGCATTTTCAGAGATAAAGCAGTGTTTGCAATACAATACTGCCAAGGAACATCTCTAGTGGCAGTCACTCAGACGGTCACTTGAGATGCTTCCTGGGTCAATGCTGCAAAATGTGCAGCACTGACGTTAAGAGTCTTCACGCTCTGTATGGAGGAGCTGAATGTTCCCCATAGAGATGCACTGATTCAATGCATCTCTATGAAGAGATGCTGATTGGTGTTGCGTTTTGCCGCGCATGCACAATAGCTTTCCAATGCTTACCTATGGAAAAGCATTGGATTGGCTGAGATCATTAATTTTGATGATCTCAGCCAAGGAGGCGGAACAGGGGCGGGTGAATGTTTTACTTTTTTAACTAGGGTAAGGAGGGACCGGAAACCTAAAATTTACTTTGAAAACTATAGTGTAAGGAATACATGCTTGTAGTCTTGACACTATAATGTTCCTTTAAGAAATCTGTTTAGGAAAGGCCCATAAAATTGCATAGATTGTTGGTGTTTTGAGAATATATAGACTTTAAAAAAAATATTATTTATAGAAGACTTACTTTGTAAGTCATGTGTACGTCCCTGCACAGTATTTGTCTGGAGGACATTATTGGAAGGCGGTTATGTTAGTAGACCAAGAGGTAAGGGCTCCATGGTTTACTCGACAGTATACCCCAATCTCACAGCACACAAGATAGGTGGGAAGGGGCAGATAAAGCTATTGGACTTACTACTTTCACCACACTGCTAATGAGCACTCAGGATAGAGGAGGTATCTCAAAGACCCTAAGCATTATTATTAATCTATACTCTCCAACACGTGGTATGGAGATTGCATTCCTCCTAGTTAGTAGTGGATTATTGGGACCCTTTATCATTTAGGACTTTCTGGTAAAGTGTGGCTATAGATGGGCTATCTCACCAAATATCAAACAAATCACTTGAAATGTTTAAGCATCTTGATCTTTAATAAATAAATGGTCTTCATAGAGGTGATCCTTGCATTCGTTATGTAAATCTATTAAAGTTCATTTTATACTAGATCTCTTCCACCTAAGTTTAGTATCTTAATAGACTACAAAGCAGAACCCACCCCAAGTTGAGCCTCAGTGCAAATATCTGGCACAAGACGCAAGTCCACACCCTTAAGGCAAGAGTGATCACTAATCCAAGAATTGTGGTATATTAACAAATTAATTGCAAAATGTGGACCAGACAAGTCAAGTCAAAGCAAAATTGGAAAATGTTTCCTGCACCTAAATTTTACAGTTTCAATGTCAATTTATCAGGTGGGAAAAAAATTATTCCAATCTCTCAAACCGGTGTGCACTAATTTGACATGATAATCATTAGCTCACAAAAGGGTTAATGATGTTTTAAGTAGGAGTAGGGGCAGGGTAAAAGCAATGAGACAGGAAAAAAAGGATCTTTGCAATTCAGTAAATAATGATGTTTTTTTCAGTGCCTAAAAAAGTGTATATTTGTATATATATGTAAGTACACCTTTATTTTCTTGAAGTGAATACGAACGTGGATTGCACAATATTTGGGTAGAGTGCAGAAACTGTTATTTTTTAATACATATATATGTATCCCTCTGTTACTATGACTAGTGAAGGTATAGTGATCTTAATGAAACCTTATGAATTTTAGCATTGTAAATTAATGTTCTGATGATATTGAATTTGTGATTTTCCTGCTAGCGCCTTTTAGGTTTTTGTAATGCTAGAACCACTGATTATCACAGGATGATTGGAGTGTAGCTCGTAATATCCACTATGAAGAGAGACAGTTTCTAAGGCTCTACTTTTAAAGAGGGGACAGCGCCCTACCTGTTCTTTCCCAGCATGAACAGATAGTATAAATGAATGGCAAAGTATGTAGGATGGAATTTTTAATAAAACAATAAGAGATTTAAACTGCTGTTGCACTTTGATTTGACTCTCACTTAATTCTTACATGTAGATATAGTACAATATATCTGGTGTGCCAAAGGTTGCCTACCTCTGAATATATTTGTATGAGTATTTTTAGTATTTAATAATATAGCCAATAAATCATTACTAGTTCTTTTTTAAATTGAACTTGCTAATAAAATATTTTGGGTTCAAGACTCAAACCAGTCAAGGCAAGCCATAGTAACTTAGACAGGCTTATAACTTTACTGTGAATAATTCACTGATATGCTCAGCATAAAATTAAAGACAATAAAATGCATGCATAATAAAAGTGAGTTATAATGTTAGACGGAACAGATAAAAGAATGTCTCTTTTAACAAAGAGAATGACAAGGATCTATGTCAAAAATAACCACCCACCAAGATATGTTCTCACCTGGTAGATCATAACTTTGAAGTTCCTGCGCCTCAGCAGTTCAGATTCATTGACTTCTAGCTTTTTTATCTGTCCTGCCTGTCTCTCCAGGTTCTGTCTCACCGTCTTGACGTTGACACTAACCTTCCTCACTTTCTCTAACAGTTTGCTAGCTGTATTGCTGGTGGTGGCGTGGGACTTTGTCAGCTTGGTAAGTTCTCCTTGAATGCTGCCTACTACATTTTCCATCTCCTGTTGCCTCTCTTCCAGCTGGTTTTGGGTCACTTGAATCTGGTCCACCGCTCCTATGATTTTATCCAACAAGCTTAGCACCAAGACCCCATTGATCTGATCGGCTTTGATTGGCTCACTGTCCATTGGTTCTTCTGGTGGAGTTTCCGGGGTGGTGGGCTGCTCAACTATCTGCAGGGTTGTATCCTCCATGTTTTACGACTGCTTTATAAAGCAAAGTTTTGATTGTGTTCAAGCTGGAAAGGGAGCAGAGAGGAAAAACAAGTGGTGTGGGATCCAGAGACGTTGTTAATGCTGGTTACCGGGATGCTAGCCAGAAATAGCAAGCATGGGAGTGTGTACTGTAATATTCTATGCAGCGTAGCAGTTCTCTGCATAACTGTACGGGTAGGGTTGGACCTGAGAGGAGGGGGAGAGACTATGTTCACTGCTTACTTATAATTGGTTAACTCCACCCGAGTATATTGGCTGCTAACCCAAACTCTCCCTCCTCTCTCTCTCTGAAATGATTAAAATAGTTATAAGGGAGGTGACTGTCTTGCATGCAAGCACAGGCAGTGGAATGTACCAGCAGAGGGAGAGGAGAGAACAGTCAAGCTGACATACTATGGGTATCCCTAATGCATTAACCACTTAACTGTAGCAACTGGTTCAACAAATACAAAAGGTTAACAAAAAGAAAAGTACTAGGCAATTAAAGAGTTAATATATTTACCATCATACTATAAACCATTTAAACAACTTAAATGATTACACAGATGGTTATCAGTGAATCAACAGTGTTATTACTAGTTATATGGATAAACAATTATTACTAACGGTTCCCTGTAGGCTAGCTGTAGAAATATGCATATATAAGGTACCTTGAAGGTGCTAAATTGCAGAGGGTTAAAGGAACTGTCTCTGGGAAATGTTGGCATGAACTAAAAACAAATACTTGCAGTAAACAAAAAACTACATTAAAGAAGCCGTGAATCAGACAGGATTTAGGGCAGGAAGGAAAAGGTACATTAAATGGGATAATAGGGCAGTAGCTACAATTGATTCCTCTTTACTTTGTTTAAAAAAGATACTTTAAATAAGCAAACAATAAACACAGCAAGTTGGCTAAAATGCACATCTAACGGATCATACAATTACGAATTGTAAGCCAAAATATGTGACATATAAAACTACCTGACTTTAATAATTCTTCCAGTTTGCAATTCCCTGATTGATTTCTGACCATCACTGGCTCTGGCCAATCACAAGTTTATTGGATAGAAAAACAAAACCATTCTCAATCCCGTGCCAGACATCCATATGGCTGCTGCTATCTATAGCCATGCTATTTAAAAAAAAAAAATCTTTATTTAGAATGCTTAAATATGGCAATTGAGAAAGGTGTCGTTACAGTTTTACATGTTTAGGAAATGGCAGATAAGAAAAACAAATAGGGAGTAAAACTTGGAGCCAATACAGACGGGAAGAAGAAAAAAAGTTGTGCTTTTTCAACATTTCTTTACTCACAATATTAAATGTAACGCTCATCTTTTTTTTTCTGCTGCGATACAATTATATAAAATAAAATCTATAAAAGCAGCAGGAGGGCTAAGGTGGGATTCAAGACATTTTCTTACCTTCTATCTTTAAGGTTTCTATGACTGAATTCTCCAGTGAAAAGTTCAGTATGTGGCAGGTGGGTGGGCTCTGATGAAAGGAGAATGGAAAAGTCTGTTAGTACAGTAAATGGAAAAGTGCTTGAAATCATTATCAGTCAGATGTTTCCCCTCTAGGACACTCCCTGGGTCTTTCAGAGAAATCTAAACTCACTGATCGTGCACTGCCTGGTGCAAGGTTAGGTTAAGCATCAGCAGGTAGGAAAAAGTCTATTACTTTATCTGCTCACTTGCAGCGGCTGACATTACACATGTGTAATATAGGACACAACTGAGCAGAGACTTGGGATAAGGTTTAAAGGGACACTATAGGCACCCAGACCACTTCAGCTCATTGAAGTGGTCTGGGTGCAGTGTCCCTTTTGCACTTAGTGCTGCCATGTTAAACATTGCAGTTTCAGAGAAACTGCAATGTTTACATTGCAGCACTAAGTCCGCCTCCAGTGGCTGTCTCCCAGACAGCCAGTGGAGGCGCTTCCTGCATCGTAATGGACCTTTGGTCCAGTATCTGACGCTGGACGTCCTCCTGCTCTGCATGTGGACATCCAGCATCAGATTTTTCCCCAATAGGAAAGCATTGATTCAATTCATTGTTGGACGTCAGAGGAAGCGGATATTAGACCCAGCATCGAGGGACATCAGCGGTGGGATAAGGTAAGTAAATAAAGGGCTTATAACACTTTATTCACTGGGGAGGGGGGAGGCAAGGGGAGCGATAGTGCCAGGAATGCAGCTTTGTATTTCTGGCACTATAGTATCCTTTTAAAGGGAACTGCCACTTCCAGGGATTTTTAATATTATGTTTATATATATATATATATATGTATATATATATATATATATTTAGCAAATATTCATTTGTGAGGTGTAAAAAAAAAAACCTAAATGGAGAAATCCACACCTCTTCATCCTGCGTATGGGTGCCTCCATCTTAGCTCCCTGCCAGTCATTGTTTTTGTGTCCTTAGGCGCCTTTTGCACCAGGTGGTCAGCCAAGAGAAAAAAATTTAACAATGCTTCTATTTTTCATCAACATTTGCAATGTTTGCACTGACTTTGGACTTGTCTGAACTGGATTATGATGTAATTTTTAATATAAATCTTAAAGACAATGGAACATCTCATGAAAAAAATGTTAACACAAGCTATAGGTTGTTTTCAATATTTTATTCCACGGATGAATTTCCAGAGAAGTGAAAGTTCCTCTTTAAGTTTTGTGTACTAAGAAAAGTTCTCTTTTTTTTTTTTTTTTTTAAACCAATCTTTAGTATCTGTTTTTAAAAAGTAACACATTTTACACATAAAGAAAAATTACGTTGTTACCTATCCAAAAAGCTGTAATTTGTAACTCATAAAAACAGGAAACATTGAGAATATGAGTCAAAGGAAAGTAAAGAAGAAAATGAAGGGGGGTAGGGGGAAGAAGTATGGCAGTCCACCAAATATCACAAATTCTGCTCTATTAAATTAGTAGAAGTTAGCAGATAGAATGCATTGTTGGAACATTCTGGCTAAAATGAATACAGAATAATTAATCTAGTAATTACAGATTACACCACTTGCAAATGTATATGGAGGAAGAAGAAGTATGAGGTGCTGATGGTGCCAGTCTTTGGGTGTTGGTAAGGCCCAGAGATCAAAAGTCCACTTAATCAAGAAAGCTGTCCCATGTATACCATAACTTTGAAACTTTGGTTGTTCTACCATGTCATAGTGCTAAATTTGTATGAGTTACTGGTGTTTAAGGTTCAACTTTTGCTCTGTAAACCCTGCAAAAGTGATGGGAGCTCAAGCACTCGGTAAATGTTGTGAAGCAACTTTATTTTCTGAACGCAAAGAAGCATGCAAGCAAACAAGTAATGGGAATTAAAATAAAACTGAAATTAACTTCTATAAAATACTATCAAATGGATATGCTAAACACTATATCAACTGCAGCTCATTGAAGCAATCATTGCTTTAAGTCTATGCCCTCCATCCCCACCCGTTTTTTAAAATATCATTTAGGAGCAAACTCCACTCCTCAGCATTCTCAGCCTATCATTGAGATGGTCATCACTTGTTAATGCAGAAATGCAGCTTGTCTATTATTAGTGTAGCTGAAGGGGGAAGGTATATGGGTGTCAGGAGTGACCTCCAAAAGCTTTTGACAAAAAAAAAGCAAACAAAAAACAGTAGCTGGAGATTGCACCATAACTGCAATGGGCTGTAGTGTGTATGGTTCTTAGAGTATCCATTTACTAGTATGTCCCCCATGCAAAAAAGAAAGACTAATGGAGTTCCCATTGGTTTCTAACTAACCAGGAATTATTAACACATCTGATTTTTGTTACAAAAAATCTTGTCAGGGCTCCCATTTCTTTGAATAGACTTTAAAGGGTTACTCCAATAACCATGATCACTTTGGTGATTTGAAGTGGTCATGGTGATAGAAGTGTATATGTACAGTGTTTCAGCTACTGGGATATTTGTAGTTGTATGCTGGGGACTAGATGCAACCTCAGCACATGTGACATTGGGAGCCTAAAACTGTGTTCTGGGCTGCCAATGTTAAAGGAGCACGATAGTGCCAGGAAAAAAGATTTCCTGGCATTATAGGGTTATTAGGTTCCCCTCTCCCTCGTGGCTCCCCACCCCCCCTCTAAAACTGCTATGTTTACAGCTGCATGGTTAAAACTAGGGGAGCCTGGCACCCAGACCACTTCATTGAGCTGAAGTGGTCTGTGTGCCTATAGTGGTTCTGTAAATATGAGCATATTATGAGTCTATCATCAGTACGCACAACAAGCTGGCGACAGACGTGCTCATTTGCCCCATTGCAGGCAAAGATTGCTTCCCCCTTGCTCCCATCCCGCCTTTCTCCATAGCCCTCAGTAAAAGGAAAAAAATCCTACCTCCCTTCCTCTCCATTCTCTCCCCTCGCCGGTCCAGAATGCACGCATGCGCTCTGAGTTGATTAAGCGGACCAATCACAGGCATCTCTGAGAAGAGGTGATGCGGAAGGCAGCACCAGAGATTCCAGGTGAATAAAAATGTTTTTCATGTTTTACTGCAATCAGAGGGGGGGGACTTTCTCCATAGTGCCCATTAGGGCATATTACACAGGAAAGGTCTGCCCCCTCCAAAGGGTTGGAGTAACCCTTAAGTTGAAATATTAGACTTGCCAACAATTTGTCTGTAGCTGTTTGTCCAAATTAAATTCCTTTGAACCTGCGCGCAAACAAATTTTCCACCCGGGATTTAATTCAGAATTTTCTTTTTTTTCTCCAAAGGAAATTTTGCACAAGTCTAAAAGCCATGCCTAAGTGCTGTCACTATCTTGGATAGTCTTGTAACAGATGGCAGGATTATTGGATCATCTGGTCCACAAACCTTGACCTCTTACAAAGTGAATCTTCGTCTCCTCTTACAAAGTGAATCTTCGTCTCCGTTTTTTGCCAGACGTACCTGATACGTCTGCGGTCGGGAAGGGGTACCCTTACCGACCGCTGACGTATCAGGTACGTCTGGCAAAAAACGGTCCATAATGACCTTGGACGTACCTGGTACGTCCGCAGCTATTTTGAGTGCTGGCTCTGATAGTATTGCAGTGATGCTCTGCATGTGCTGAGTCCTGGCACTCAGTGCATATATAATAATATATATAAAAAAATAAATATAAAATAAATACAATTATCAATATTAATCCCCCCCCCCCCGGTCCCTTTCGAAAGGCAGTGAATCATGGGGCTTCTGGGGGTGTCCCTAGCATGCCTCATCATAAGGGGCAGGCTGGGGTCATCCAATCACAACTTGCCCCATTAGCAATTTCATCCCAAGTGTGTTCCCCATTTCTCTGATTAGTGTGGATCTGCCTCCCTCTCTTCACTTGTGTTTTAGTGAGAGAGGGAGAGAGATCTGTGCTTTAGCTAGAGAGATTTGGGTATTTATAGGTAGGGATTTGTAAAATCTTGAGACCCAAAGTGCCAGGAAAACGAGTATGTTTTCCTGGCACTATAGTGGTCCTTTAATTTGGATGTCACAGGATTTAGCCCTCAGCAGTTTATGGAGGTGCTTCTGGGCGATGATGTATTGGGGAACATTGTCGCCCAAACTAATTTATATGCCCATCAATTTTGAGCTACAAATCCTGACACTTTTTTGGCAAAGCAGCAATGGGCCCCCATCGATGTGCCAGAATTTAGAAGATTCTGGGCATTGACTATGCTGATGGGCATCATAAAGAAGCCCTCCATCCGCTCCTACTGGAGCAGTAGCCCCATCTGCTCTACCTCCATTTACTCCCAATGTATGTCGAGGAAGAGGTATGAAATGACAACAACAGCCTGTGTCCCCCTAGGGAGCCTCCCCAGTTTGACGGGCTGTATAAAATCCGCCCCCTGATTACCCACTTCGCTGCCAGGTTTGCAGAGGCTTATACACCTGGAAGGAATATATGCGTGGATGAATCCCTGATGAAGTATAAGGGAAGGCTGGGATTCAAGCAGTATGTTCCTTCCAAGCACTCTAGGTATGGTGTAAAGATGTATAAGCTCTGTGATAACGAGACTGGGTATACTCAGGCCTTCCGGGTGTACGAGGGAAAGGATAGCCACCTTGACCCTCCAGGTTGCCCAGAACATATGGGAACCAGTGGCAAGATTGTCTGGGACCTGATATTCCCCCTGATGAACAAAGGGTACCACTTGTATACTGACAATTTTTATACAAGTCTCCCTTTGTTCAAGCTACTGTACTGTTTCTATACAGTAGCTTGAGGCACAATCAAAAAGAACAGCACAGGTGTCCCAGGACAACTTGCACGCACCCGGCTACGAAGGGGGGAGACCTCAGCTCTGCGCCAAGAGGAGCTGTTGGCAGTTAAGTACAGAGACAAGAAGGATGTGTACCTTCTTACCACCATCCACACTGAAGGGACTGTGGAAGTCCTTGTACGTGGCAGAGCTGAGAGCACAAGGAAGCCAGTGTGCATCAAGGCCTATAACCGGCATATGGGTGGGGTTGATCTACCCAATTAAACAAAGACAAGGGCCTGGTACAAAAAGGTTGCAATCTACCTAATGCAGATTGCAACCCACAACACTTCAAAAAAGCAAACCCCCGGGACACAACTGAGATTTTTACAGTTTCAGCTCCAGATCATTTCGGGGATTTTGTACCGTGATGCACCTGCTCCCCGGGCCATGATGGGAGAGAGTAGAGTTGGGGCTACACATTTTATTTTTAAAATTCCCCCTACTGCGGCAAAGCAGAATCCCCCAAAAAGATGCAGGGTCTGTTCTAAGAGGGGGCAAAAAAAAGATAGTGTATATCACTGTCCTGATTGCCCTGGACAGCCTGGACTCTGCATTGGAGACCGCTTCAAACGATCCCACACGCTGGTCCATTTTTAATTTATTTTTTAACATTTGCCGTTCAGTTTTTTTTGGTGTATTTTTTTCTTTTTGGGGTTTTGCTACATTTACCCCATGCATGGGGGGGCATGGGTATCCTAAGGAGGCCTTGCAGAAAACAACCTGGGGTGTTTTCTTGCAATAACCAACAACGGGCTCTCCTAAGTCACAGTAAAAAAGCAGTGTGCGTGTGTAAAAATGAGGATTGAACAGTTACCTCCACACATGTTCTTCAACTTTTTTATTTTTTGTCTGGCTAAAAAAAAGTTGCATCAAAGCACTCCACATGCAATACCTCGGGGTGTCTATGTTTCAAATATGTACCCTTTCATGGCGATATATAAAACTGGGGTATGTGATAAGCCCCAAGCTAAAGATAGGCCTATTAGAAGAAATACTCTCAATTTCAACTCAAATTGCAAGTCATACAATTGTAACCGTACCTTTCCAAAATCCTGGCAAACCTATGCATGGGGGGGTATGGGTGTCCTAAGGAGGCCCTGCAGAAAACAACCTGGGGGTTTTTCTTGCAATAACCAACAACGGGCTCTCCTAAATCACAGTCAAAAAGCAGTGTGCGTGAGTACAAATGAGGATTGAACAGTTACCTCCACACACGTTCTTCAACTTTTTTGACTTAAATGATTGCATCTAAGGCATCAAAACACTCCATATACAATACTGCAGGTGTCAACTTTTCAAATATATGCACGCTCATGGCAAGAAAATACATTAGGATATCTGATAAGGCCCCCAAAAGGAAGATAGGCAAACAAGATATGTAAAATTTGAAAAACGCATATCAGACATTTTGCTTTGCACCCCCCAGTGAACCCGACACACCTATGCATGGGTGGTATCGCTGTACTCAGGAGATGTTGCCGAGCACATATTGGGGTGTCCTTTGGCAGTAACACCTAACAGGAGCTGAGAATCTATGCCCAAAGTAGAATGTGTGAGTGAAAAATAACACCACAAAAACGTTTGACAGAGACTGGTGGTAGAATTAGTGCATGTAAAGTGTTGAAATGCCACCATGTGAAATGCCCTAGGGTGTGTACTTTTCACGGTTTGATGGAGGTGAATGACATTGGCCGGCTTCAGAAATGTTCCAACCTGGACATGGGTGCATGATGGCCAGCTGTGTTTTATTTTTCCATTTTTCATCATATTTTACTTTTTTTTTCTAGTAAATTATATGATATGATGAAAATAATGGTATCTTTAGAATGAACATTTAATAGCGAGAAAAATGGTATATAATATGTATGGGTACAATAAATGTGTAAGAGGCAAATTACATCTAAACACAACCACTGCAGAAATGTAAAAAGAGCCCTGGTCCTTAACGGTAATAAAATTGAAAAATGGCCTGGTCACTAAGGGGTTACAGATAATGGATAAGGCTATGAAGAGCCTTGTGAAGGAGCTTTGTTTTGTCTACGGCTATGATCTTTACCTTCCAGTAATATGAATATCAAAGATATTTAACCACTATAATTTGTTCTTAGTTCCAAATAACAACAACAAAAAATAGTTTACATATATGAAGTGTGTAAATAATAGATTTTGCTAATCAGTTTTTTCTTTTAACCAGAGAACATACTTTGAGGGCGAATAGAGAAAACAATATGGATAGAAAATATTGGTGTGACAGAACCAACTGCCTGTGAAATACTTTTGAAATACGTCTGTTTGTTCGGCTATTTCCTTGTCCGTATGGTCCCCACGCTTGTTTCTGTTTTACCGTTTGTTTTACAATTCACCGAACGGCATTCCACCCAGTATGGAAGTGTGCTGCTGGTTAACCTCTTGGCCTTATTAGAACATTGTGGTTAACCGCAGACACTTCCTAATTGTCGAATGCCGACTGGGTGGTTGTCGTTCGTATGCCAACCATGAGGCGGCGGCCATCTTGGACATACGAATGCTCAGCTGTGTTCGTCGATGATTTCATGGAACTAAAAACGGACACTGTTACTCACGAACACCGCTGAAAGTCACTGACCTCCCTTCTTCTTTTTTTACAGCATACGAACGCTGGTCCGTTCAGTAGTTTATTGAACTGTGTGTATAGGATCTAAGCGCCATTCGGTAATAATGTGCGCTCAGATCCAAGCTATCTGGGGATGTGTTGAATTTATCTATTGTGTTCGGTAGTTCTTGT